TTGTGTTTTTGAACGATTGCCCATATCCCCAACCCTCATTGATTGTGTATAGTGTCCAGACATATAGGCTTTTAATCTGCACAAGTCAGCACTTCATATATCGAGGTCTAAAATACAGGCCTTTGCATGTATAATTTCCTTTAGTTTTTATGATCTGGCCCTAACTCAATGCTTGCCCTCATGAAGAGATCACTGAAGATATAGGTGCTATAGCAAAGTATGGTCAAGAAATCAGATGGTTCCCAGGTATTAGAAAGAATAGCATCTTTGGTCTTAGACTTGTCTTCAAACAGGCAGCCATTTAAATGAGGCATCAGCTAAGTCCAAATGGAAGAAGCATGCCACCTTCTGTGATCCAAGGATTGTAAATAATAAAATCCAAATCCGAAAGAGGGAACAGTATCAGAGCTTAAATTCTGAACACTTGGATTTCAGAAGGCTATGAATGACAGTAGAATCCCAAAATCCATTTACAGGGCCCTAAATGGATTAAGTCTCTGATGAATTCCCTCTGACTATAGACCAGGGATGTAAATAGCCTTGTGTGGTAGTTATATAATCTGTTGTCAGTTTGAGGATTAAGAGTGAAGGGGTGGAGTTTAGCCTGTCAATCAGGTGGCAACTTGATGGCCTTATCTGGAGGCCCTAAAGAGATAAATAGGATGTATTTTGGCTTTTATTGACTTGGTTAATTGTCTTCAGCTTCAACCTGCACTTACATATGAGCACTATGGGCTCCTGGCCTGGTTTTAGCTGCTGACACGGAGCTTCCCACAGATGGAGTCCATTTGGCTTCTATGTATCCGTCTGGAGAAGACCGCGTGTCTAGTCACTGTTTGTGTTGTTGCTAAAAGCGATTTGCGAGGAAGACGTCATGGGTCTTGCAAAATTCTATTATGCAAGTTCCAGCTTAATTCCTATTTACCAAGACTATGTTTTCCAACTACTGCTCATTCCCCTTTCTCCAACTTTTGCATTCTAATTGCCAATAATTACCAATGCATCTTGATTGCATGTTCGATCAATGTCAGACTGAAGGCTGGTAAAATTGTTCAATTTCTGCATCACTATCTTTAGTGGTTTGTGGGTACATTTGAACAATAAGTTGTCTGACTGGATATCTTTGTATGCTGACAGATATTATCCTATTACAAACAACATTGAACTTCAAGATCATCTTGAAATGTCCTTTTTGATGGTGAATGATACATCATTCCTGTTGACTCTGTCATTCTCGTCATAGTAAACCATAGGATTTTCTTTATTTTTTAAAATACTTTTATTAGGGGCTCATACAACTCTTATCACAATCCATACATACATCAATTATGTAGAGCATATTTGTACATTCATTGTCCTCATCATTCTCAAAACATTTGCTGTCCACTTAAGCCCCTGGCATCATGTACTCTTTTTTTCCCCTTCCTGTACACCTACCGTCCCCGTAGAAGAACATCATGTTTGCTAAAGTGGAAATAGAGAAAAAGAGGAAGGCCCTAATGAACATGGACAGACACAGTGGCTACGACAAAGGGACTGAGCCTGGGACTGACCGGGAGGCTGGCGCAGGACGGGGCAGTGCTTCAGTCTGTGGTGCACAGGGTCGGGACGGGTCTGAATGGATTTGATGACACCTAGCAATAACAAAAGCAGTGGGGCGAGGGGAGAGGGAGGGAGAAGGGGGTTCAATTCCCAGCTGCAGTTAGCAGTCTAGCCAACACTAGACACTCCTACCTGTTGAACAAAAGTCACAGTGCCGAAGTGTCTGTGTGCAGGTTGTTGAAATGGCAACAGTTCTGTCAGAGGTGTGACCAACATAGGAACCCAAATGCGCACACCAACCATGTGTTTCCTCTCAGCATAACTGAATGCGGGGAGTTAACTTTGGTGTCTGGTGACATTTCTCCACTCCCACTGTCAATTTTCTGGATCAGACTGTCCATCACCTCGCTCCCCACACACATCCCTGCTCAGGCTGGGGGCCATACTCCTGGGTGGCATCCCAAGCAGAAGTGCAGCCACTGCCGGATGAGGCTGGGAGACAATCAATGGTTTCCAAGGTTGCCTCTACTTCAGATCCCATGTGTTCCTGTCTGTTCTGTTCCCTCACTGGGTGACTCTCCCTTGTCCACTTGAAAAATCCCATTAGTCCCTCAAGAGCCAGACCAAATATCATGACGGGGATGTTTCTTGAGACATGTACTCCATTCAGCACCCTCCAGCCCCCTTGACCTTCAGGATGTGCGCGCGAGTCGGCCAGCCTTGCCCGGTGAGGAGCAGACATCAGGCAGACAGAGAGCCTGGCCGGGAGCTGAACAAATCAGATGACTCCTCTCCTTTGCCTTCCCCTACTCACCTACCTCAATCCCACGCCTAAGTGCCTTTCATTATATTTACCTTTGATCCAGAGCTAAATATCTTCTCTTCTTCATTTGTTTCAGAAGTGAGTGCAGTCGTAGGTGTTCCTATGTTGGTCAAGGAGCCCGACTAGTGTAACGGTTAGAGCCCTGTGTTACCAACCCCAAGGCTGGCCACTCCAAGGTACCAGCTGCTCCCGGGGAAAGGATGTGGCGATCTGTTTCCATAAGGATGACAGCATTGGAAACCCTGCAAGCTCGCTGCCAATCAGAATCCATTCAATGGCAACTGGTATATGTGGCTTGATTTGGCTGGCTATCTCGGTTGCCTTATTTACAGACAGCAGAGTGTGGAGTGACCTTAGAAGTTGCCTTCCCCAGCTGTGTGAGCTGGTGATGTCCAGATGCCCATGTACGGCACACACAGATGCATCTACATAAATACACACTCTCAGCTACTAAAACAAACAAACAACCCCACCCCACCCCAAAGCCAACTCACTGCATAGCGGCAGTGATGGATGGATGAAAACCTGCCGGCTGTGGATTTCTGAGGCTGTAAATCATGATGAGGGTAGAAAGCCTTTCCTCCTTGGAATGGCTGGTGGTGGTTCAAATGGTTGACCTTGCAGTCAGCAGCCCAGCAAACAGCAAGGCTCCTATGTGAACAGTATTTTGGTGATGATGGTGGTGATGAAGGAAAGTACTAGCTGCCCAGAAAGGCCTGGAGGTCTATTTAGGGAAATCAGCCAATGAAAACGGTACAGATCACAACGGCCTGATAGGCAGCCACCCTACACACAGCCCAAGACTAGGTGGCTGCCTCTGTTGTGCATTGTGCATGGATCCCACAAGCTGGGGGGCTGCCTCGTAGTCGCTACTAACAGTAACACAAGCACCTTACACAGAGGTGGAGGAGGAGGTGCCAAATGCACCGAGGATCAGGGAGAAGGGGGGGGGCAGTTAAGGAGTCAGGGCTGTTGAAGTGGGGTGTACTGGGGATTGGAGGAGGGCTGATGCTTCCCTGAGCACCATCAAGGAAGGCCGCAGGGATGGGTGCCAATGAAGGTGCGTGTTAATGGTGTTGGGGGGAGCCGATGAGTGGAGTCCATGCCTCTGGGTCTACATTTGGGGGGAGTTGGTGCCTCTAGTATATCTTGCATTCCCCACTGACAAAGAGCTTGGGGACATCCAGGGTTGAGAGTGGTGACTCCTGCACAGTAGTTGAGAGCACTGAGAGGGCCATGGTCAGGATGCCAATGCCCCTGCCATTTGCTGATGTCTGACCCTGCACAAGTCATGCATTTCCGTTCCCTCATCTGATGGTGATGATGACCTCAATGGATATGTGGCGTGCTGAGAACCATGCCTGGTGGATAATTAAAAGGGAAAGAAAATCAATTGCCACGGAACTGGTTCTGATCCGTGGAAACCCCCCGTGTGTGTCTGAGCATAGGGGCATGCTCCACAGGCTCCCCACGGCTGATTATTCATTACCTCCCCAGCCCTTTCCTCCAAGACATCTCTGAGAGGACTCCGACGTCCAGCCTGTGCCCCTGCTGCCGCACAAAACCCAGCACACAGCCGCCAACAAACCCCACTGTCACGGGAGGCTTTACGGCCGGGGTTGCGGGTGCTAGGATGGGGGTGTCGGGCACACAGGGAGAGAGAAATGACTTGGCAAAATGCTTCCCGAGTTGTCGCTGTGGTTGTGTGCCTTGTAGAGCAGCCTTGTAGGACAAGGCAGAGCCGCCTGGGCCGCCCTGTGCTGTGCGCTCCAGAGGAGCAAGTTACCAAGTCTCTTCTCCTTGGGGGATGGAGGAACAGGGGAATTTGAACTCCAGCCTTTCATTACCAGCCAGGTGCTAAACCCTTGTGGCATAAGTGCTTCTTTCGTATGCCATAGGAATAGTCACAGATTTTCTTTTAATGGCGAGACAGCTAGTTGCTGTCTTGGTTACAAAGCCAAGTTCTAATGGATTCTGGTAAAGGAGCCTTGTATTAAATAGACCCTTTTTCTAAAAAAGGGGTAAAGTGGGACAGGTAAAGTGTCTTTTCATCTTTATCACCTGCCTGGGATCTGGTAGAGGATGTGGTTAGAGGGTGAGGGAGAAAGATTGGGGGATGCTTAAAAGCCTCGGAGACACTTAGCATTGGATGCTCACCAGCCACCGGAAGGAAGGGCGGGAGAAAGACCAGACTGCCTGCCCCTGTAAAGACATACAGCTTCGGAAACCCCAGGGAGCAGTTCTGCTTTGCCCTGTAGGGACGCTGTGAGCCAGTCAACTCAATGGCTGTGAGTGAGTTCGACATTAGTCTACCAGAGGGATTCTCACCAAGAGACAATCTCTTTTATATTTTGTAGTATTGGCAAAACCCAAAGATTACTGTGAACCCTCGCCTTAACAATTTGCATCACTCGACTATTTAACCAGGGTTAACCGCCCTTTTAAAAGCCGCAGCCCTACCAGCTTCTAGGTGGCAATGGCCCAGCTGGTTTAAATGGGTCTCCATGGTTACAGTCATGCTCTGGTTTCCATGGTTACCCTCCCAGTCCCTCACAGCAGTTATAGATTTGAAAATTCAAAGGACTTTTTCCCCACCCCCACCCCCGCCTCCTGCCTACACAGAAGTCTAGGGTTTAAAGGTCCAGCATGAAAGTTTCAGTGACCTCTTGGGAGGACAAGGAGGGACATTGTGATAAAACCTTTGACCCTTATGATCAAGGAGTGCTGAAGCGAGGACTCATGGAGACAAACTGGCAGAGAAATGATGCATGCATGCTCCCTAGGCCCAAACATGATGCGTAATTAGCAGAGGAGGAGAATAATGCGCTGTTGTTTGATAGAAGGTTCCTGAGTCGGGTGGGGGTGCGGGCGGGAGTGGGTGAAGGTAGGGATAGGATGGTGTCCAGAGATGGGGGGGGTGTATCTTCGGTAGCCTCCCTGCACCGATTTTCCCCCCACCCCACCCCACCCCGCCCCGGGCAGTCTTCATTTCCTAGTATCTGCCTTGGCCCACCGAGGCTCACAGGGGCGGCTGCCGTCACTCTGTGCTTGCCCAGGTGAAATGAATGAGATGGGGGTTCTGGGAAGAGAGCGACACGTGGAGTTCTTGCTCCGCCTTGTGGTCTTTTCTAAAATTGCGGTTCTGTCTCCCAAAGGAGACGAATCAAGTTGAAGTCAGACTCGCAGAACAGCGGCTCCACAAGGCTTTGCCAGGTATTTCTTTCGTGGCACCAAACTGCCAACCTTGAGGTTAGTCGTCGACTGAAAACAGTTTGGATCACCCTGGACCCTCGGTTTCAATTTTCATCATCTAGAAAAAAAAAGGGGGGGGACATTTTTATTGCTACAAATCTAGAAGCAAAAAATCTTTCTCCATTTATTAAGGTTGCCATCCAGTCATCCCTTCCACAAATGGCAGTGTCGATTGTATTTAAAATGAGCCCTAGAATACGCATAATGAGGACGAGATATTGCCAGTCTGGGTCTGAGGAAGGAAGCCAACCTAGCGAGTGGCTCGTCACAGTGCAGGTGGCTTGGCGGGAAGTGGCCCACTGGCTGGGGAAGCTGGAAGACAGAGCTAAAGTGAGTGCCAAAGAGATCGGTCTCGGGTTGAAAACTGGAATGAGGGCAATGTTTCATCAATAAGGGGATTCTGGAAGTAAGGGCGCCCTGGTGGCATAGTGGTTATGAGTTGAACTGCTAACCTATAGGTCAGCAGTTCGAAACCACCAGCCGCTTTTAGGAAGAAAGAGGGGTTTCTCTACGCCCATAAAGAGTTACGGTCTTGGAAACCCACCGGGGCAGTTCTATCCTGGCCCACGGGGCTGCCATGAGTCAGAATCGACAGTGAGTTTGGTGTGGTAATAGCTGTAGGTAGCCCAAATGGGTAAGCGTGTGGCTATTAACCACATGGCTGGTGCTAGCCTCATTTAACCAAGGTTGGCAGTTCAAATCCACCACCGGTGCCTGGGGATCTCATTCCGGAGGACCAGCCCCTGAACACTCTCTGGAGCCTGGTCCTCCTTAGAGCCATGCTGGGCAGCTGCCTAAAGGAGGGTCCTATAAAACTGTGGTCCGGAGATCATCATTAAGCCTTAAACCAGAAAGAGTCCCTGAAATCTTAAGACCAGAAAGAGTTTAGTTTAGTGAAGACTGTCTGCCTTGAACGGTGTGCTCTCTCACGCTCTGTTGACATGGGGTCAGGTTGAAAGCAGCACCTCCAGGGGTCAGCGAGTTCATGTTCATTGGAGAGGAGCACTGAGGACCCTGGGTGTACACCTGAAAGCATGTCATCAGCGCCACTGGATTATAGGAAGCATGTGGCAGCAGGATTGGAGGAAGGTTTATGAACCACCTGCGTGATATGCAGAAGACACACCTTGTTTGCTGAACGTGAGGAGGACTTGAAGCCCTTACTGATGAAGATCAAGGATTGCAACCTTCAGTATGGATTACAACTCAATGTAAAGACACCAAAACTCACAGAAATGCACCAATAGGTAACATCATGGGAAATGGAGAAAAGATTGATGTTGTCAAGGATTTTATCTTGCTTGGATCCACTGTCAATGCTCATGGAAGCAGGCAGCAGTCAAGAGATCCAAAGATGTGCACACAGGATCTCTTTAGAGAATAGAAGAGCGAAGGTATCCCTTTGAGGATGAAGATGTTCCTGACCCAACCATGGCATTTTCAATTGTCTCATATGCATGTGAGAGTTTGACGTTGAATAAGGAAGACTGAACAAGAATCAATGCATTTGAGTTACGGTGCTGGCAAAGAATATTCAAAGTACTATGGACTGTCAAAAGGACAAATCAATTTGTCTTGGAAGAAATACAGCCTGAGTGCTCCTTAGAGGCATGGCTGGTGAGACTTGTCTTACATACTTTGGCAATGTCACGAGACCAGTTCCTGGAGAAGAATATCGTGTTTGGCACAGTAGCAAAAAGAGGTAGGCCCTTGTGCTAGTCTGGGTAATTTAGAGAAACAAATCCACAGAAACTCATGTATAAGAGGCTAAGTGCGCATCAAGAAAACATCCCAACCCAGTGCTGCCCAAGACCACAAGTCCAACATTAACCCATATGTCCAACACCAATCCACAAAGTCCTCCTCCATCTCACAAGCACCCCGGGCTGCATCGGGGTAGGTCCATGTGGCTTCTCCTCAGGGATGTCTTGCGGGAAGTGATCCTTGCCAGCTAAAGCAGGGAACTGGCTTAGGCAGCTGTACCCTGGTCCGACCATCAGAAAACAAGAGACCCGAGAACTTGAAAGGCGAGGCTCACTGAACCATTTATCCCTCTGCCCTTCAATTAACCCCACATGTGTTTATCGGCCAGGCTGGCACAATAAATTAATCATCTCAGCCCTCCGTGAGATGGACTGACACGGTGGCTGCAACAATGGGCTCAGGCACAGGAACAATTGTCAGGATGGTGCAGGACTGGACAGTGTTTCATTCTGTTGTACAGTAAGGTCGGAACCGACTGGATGACACTTAACCCCTCTTGTTCATGGGCAAAATCAACCCTGAGTGGATCGCTCTTAGGTCAAGGCAAAATCAGCCCTGAATGGACCCTCTCATTCATGGGCAAAATCAGCCCTGAATGGATCGCTGTCTTAGGTCAAGGCAAAATCAGCCCTGAATGGACCCTTTCGTTCATGGACAAAATGGATCGCTGTCTTAGGTCAAGAACTCTGACCAGCCGAGGTTAAAGGCCATGTCCCTTTTTTTCCTTCTCCTGTATTGTAACATGGCATCTGGTGTGTCCATGTACAAAAGGAGCACTGGTAGCACCGGGTTACTAACCAGAACACTGGCTGTTTGAACCCATCCATCACTCCATGGAGAGAGATGAGGCCGTCTGCTCCCGTAAACATTTACAGCCCTGGCCACACGATGCCTCAGCCCTGCTGTTCTTTTCACAGGTTGCTGAGTTGGATCAACACGGTGGCAGGTTAGTCACTATTGATCACAGCAGAGGTGGAGGAGCATATACATCACCCAGAGATACGTGACTTGGAACAGGAGGCGGTCCCTCCTCTGGGGAGTGGATGCCGGGTTTCCGGGTGTAGGGACGGTTGCATTACTTTTCCATGTCTGGGCATCTACAACCCTGTTGGGGCCTCGTGGAAGCCTCTTGCTACCTACCCGCTTCTCCACACACTGACAGTCAAGGGTATGATTCAAACTTAATGAGGTAGTGCTTCTGCTAGGACTCTGGATCTGGAGACGTAAGCAGCAGAACAGGTGGAAGTCATGACAGTGGCACGCAGCGTCAGCAGTGACAGTGCAGTGGTGGTGTAGCACGTGCAGTAGCCACAGTGTTAACAGCCGGGCGATTCCCGTGACAGGCTCTGGCCGGTGTTTCCAGCTGTCTTCCGTCTGTTGTCAGCCTGCTGCCTCCATTGAGCTGCTAAATACCCTTCAAGTCTTTTTCTGCTTACGTCAGCCAGTCAGTGTCTGTCATCAGTTTCTACCAAAACCCCCGAATGGTCCAATTTCTAATCAGCAGCTAAGAGAGAAAAGGCACTCAGTCTCAGCCTATCACCTAAGTTGGATGCTATTACTTAGTTTTCTCAGTGCTGTCTTCCCATGTGTGCGGGACCAGCCTCCTCACAACTGAATGGACCCAAGGGGTGGTTGTGTAATTGAGGAATAAATTAAAGAGACAGCAGATGATGCAAAGGCTCACCTCCTCAGGCATGAACTTCAGGAACCAGGTCCGAGCAGAGTCAGCAATCTAATGTAATGTAATCTCATGAGCTTATATACTCTCAAGCACGCTAGGCCAAGGCCACAGCAAACACACATATAACAGGAAGGGGTTGTACTAGAGACACACATGTGACAGGAAGGTACCTATGTACCAAGATGGGCAGGCTCAAGTCAACATGGCAGCCTAACCTTGGTTGTCTGAGTTGGCTTGACCTTAGGTGTCTTTGAGCTCTCCTCCAGCCGACCCCTTATCTTTATCATCCTTATAAAAAAGGAGTGGGCCCTACTTAGGGTGACACAGACATAGGGTCTGATTGCTTCTGATGGCAGATAACCTTTAAGTATTTAGCTTTTAAGCAGTTGACCTCCAAGTGTATAGTCAGTGACCATGTGTTTACAAACAGCACCTTAAATTTGGCATTGTTCTGGGGGACATCGTGGGGAATAACTTTTACTTAGCAGAATGTGAGCGGGAAGCATCTCCAACCCACGAACGTGAAGGTTCCCTCCACAGGAGCACGTATGCATGTTGAGTTTATTCGCATACATTCTCTTCCTAGTTCTATTTCCCACACCATAGTCCCATCATTCAACACTTACAGATTCAATATGGCAAAGCATCTGTTTTTTTCATTTGCCCTGTTGGAAGGCAATCTCCAGTCCCGTCCATGATAGTGCAGGTTGTACATCTGACACTATATACCAGAACACTAAGACCCTATAAAGAGGCCAGTCCTGCCCTCCCAAAAGAATACGTGCTTTCTGTCAATGTTTGGAGAAAAAGAATGCCCTAATTACACAATCGAGAAAACCCTCTTACACAGCCAACCAAGTGGGGCGCAGAACAATGGGAAGGGGGCAGGGGTGCTGTTTATAGCCCAGTGGCAGCTTCTCTCACACCATTGTGCTTTTCAGAGCATTTCCAGTTTGTCTTGTGCTCCGACCTTAACTAGGTAACATTCATAGTTCCAATGAGATCTTAGAAATCTGGCTGGTGAGCTGGGTACAGTATCCACCCCTGTGCCATAATCATGGCGCAGAACAAAGCCCGCTTCCCTAGAAAGCCTGCTTCAGAGAGCTAATGTTGGAGCCCCTCATTCAACATGAATAACCACAGCTTTTCAGACACAGATAACTTTATGCAGACTGTTAAAAATGCCCCAAACTCTCAGGAACACACCTTTTCTGAGAAGTCTTTTAACTGTCAAGTTTAAAATAAAAGATGGAAAGATGCAGTGTGTAGCCTTTTCATTGTATGCATACCACCATCATAAACACTTTTTTGAAATGCAAAAAAATCAAACTTCTACAGTAGGAAACCCATGGGTTTTTTTTTTTTTGTAAATGCAAACTTAAGTCTCACAATGGCATTAAAACCCAAAGCCAAATGAGTTAAACTTTAAAGTAGAAGACTGGCATGGATGTTACACAAGTACTATCTTTTGCCACTTTCCTTCATGTTAATTCTTCTTGGCTTTCACTCAGCAGAATGTTTTTTTCCCTTTCCCAACACCACATAGCAAAATCAGGGGAAAATGGAATTGATTGGGGTCATTTTTCGCTAATTTTAAATGATTTCCTGTTAGGCTACATTTTTGAATAAAAATGTAAACATTACCTACACTACATAAGAAACTTTAAAAAAATCATTTTATTGGGGGCTCATACAACTCTGATCACAATCCATACATACATCAACTCTGTAAAGCGCATTTGTACATTTGTTGCCCTCATCATTCTCAAAACATTTGCTCTCCACTTAAACCCCTGACATCAGCTCAATTTTGCCCCCTCCCTCATGAGCCCTTGATAATTTGTTAATTATTTTGTCATATCTTACACTGTCCGACATCTCCCTTCACCCACTTTTCTGTTGTCATCCCCCAGGGAGGAGGTTATATGTAGATCCCTGTAATCGGTTACCCCTTTCCACCCTACTCTCCCTCCACCCTCCTGGTATTGCCACTCTCACCAATGGTCCTGAAGGGATCATTCACCCTGGATTCCCTGTGGTTCCACTTCCTATCTGTACCAGTGTACATCCTCTGGTCTAGCCAGATTTGTAAGGTAGAACTGGGATCATGATAGTGGGGTGGGGTGGTGGGGTTGCATTTAGGAACTAGAGGAAAATTGTATGTTTCATCGTTGCTACACTGCACCCTAACTGGCTCATCTCCTCCCCATGACCTTTCCGTAGGGGATGTCCAGTTGGTGCATAAGCAAATGTGGTGAATAAAGTTGATGGTGCCTGGCTATTAAAAGATATAGCGACTGGGGTCTTAAAGAATTGAAGGTAAGTAAGTGGCCATCTAGCTCAGAAGCAACAAAGCCCACATGGAAGAACCACACCAGCCTGTGTGATCACAGGTGCCGAAGGGATCAGTTATCAGGTATCAAAGAACAAAAAATCATATCATTGTGTGCTCACCTCCCCGATATGATCACTGAAGACAAATGCGTGCATAAGCAAATGTGGTGAAGAAAGCTGATGGTGCCCAGCTATCAAAAGAAACTCTTTAAAGCGTGCCTTTCCAGATGTCTAGGGGTGAAATAAGTAAGAACTGTTTATCTATTCTGGAGCATGATTCTACATGAATCATTAAGTCAAAGAATCATTACATATTATTTTTTATGATTATAACTGCACAAATGAAAAAAAAACTTTCAGTGGGACCATTTTTTAAGGGCAGGCCTTCATTTAGTATGCTTTGAGGAATGCAAAACAGGATTTATCTAACAAGAGCCTTATTCTGAGTAGAGCCATCATTTGTTACAAACCAAATCACAACAAAATAAAAAATAATCCACACCTCATGTCCCACCCCACAACATAGAAACAAAAAACCTCCTGCTAAACTGTCTACCACCATGCCTTCCATTTAGTTACTATTGGAAGTATCTTAATCTATCTGAGAGGACAATTTAGAGAACTGGACAGAGTCCCTATGTCCAGGTACACCCGGTACAATGAACTTAAATGGCACGACCATTCATAAGTATCTGGTCCACTTCACCAACTCAGGGTCGCCTTCCTTTTCTTTTTCACTTTTGAATTTCAAAAGAGCTCAATCCATAAAATTTGGCCACAAAGTTACAAACACTTACTGGAAATGTCGGGGATCCCAGTTCTCCTCCAGGTGGGGCAGAGGCCAGGTGGGGCAGAGGAGAGGAGATGAAGCGAAGGTGAAGAGCACATCTCCAGTCTTCCAGCTTCCAAACGTGCTGTGCTCTTGATAAGCGGGGTTGTTTATTTGCACAGTCTGCCCACAAGGGCAATAGCCCTCTGAGCCCGGTCTTCAGGGTGGCATCAGGGAGCATTAGCTGCAAGGGGCCCAGATGACAGAACTCGTGGCAAGTCAACCCACAAAGCAGGCTTCTCTCCCTTTGATGACTGACAGTCCCAAGTGTGAGGGAGGAGTCAGTAGACTTTCACCTCTCTCCCTTACAACAAGGAAAGCGAAGTAAAAGTATGTATCCAGAGATGATGTTTTCACTTTAAATAATAGCGATTTTCATAACAATATTTTAGGAATTTCACGAAAAAGCACTGGGGACAAAGAAATGACAATGGAGTGGGAAGAAACCAGTGGCTGCTGTAGACAATGGGTGTGCTCGCCGAATAGCACGTCTTCAGTCAAAAGGCTGCTGTGTAATTCTGCTCAGAGACTATTTTGAACTTGCCTGGGAAATTAACCCGACTTTTCAAGAGCAATGCTCCTTCACTGGTTACTGCTCACTGATGGCATGGGAACGCCACTGTCCTGTGTTTAGGAGAACAGCTTGTACCAGAACTTTCCCTAACAATGTGCTCAATTTTCACAAAGCTTAAATGAGCTGGGAATCAGAATGTTCCCATTAAAACCCGCTTTTTCATTAAAACTATAACAAAGAACTCACAGAACAACTGAGATTAGTCTGCAGGAATATGTAACTCACTGCTAGCTAACAGGGAGCTTTATCATTATTGATTTCCCATATATAATTTTGCTTTCAAGGGATTATCAATCTGGCTTTTAAAAAAGACTCTTCATGGCTGAGAGAAAGACCTATGTCTCAGTGAATTGGCTAAAGCGTGTTAGGTATAAACGGGTAAAGTAAAGACTCAGAAAGCTTTCGGTGGGAGCAGACGGCCGGCCTGTCTATGGACTCCATACCGCTAATGGCTCAGATCAGAGACTGTGTACGACATTGGGATTAAAACTGGAGAAATGAAAATACTTTCTCCTTAGCACATGAACTGACACAGAGACCCCTCTCTCTGACTTATAACTAACACATCAAAAGACCAAACAACAAATAAAAAGCCCTGAGGGTTGAAATAAATAAAGCAAAGCAGATAAAAATCTCCAGACCCTCTGTTCTCAAGGAATTGTGTATCTATCTACCAGCTGCAACTGAGATGGAGAAACCGCCCAAGTTAACAATCAGGGATTTGCTGTCAGCATCTGACCCACTTATCCAGGGCAGGTTGGCTGTATGATGGGGAGACCCAGGCAGTGGAGACTGAGCAGGCAGGCCCGACCAACCTGAGAGGGAACTGGTGAGACACCATAAAAAAGCAGAAACCAAACCCAAACAGTTATCTGAAGAAGAAAAAAACAAGTCAGTTTCTTCAGAAGTCAGAGATATTTCGCTCAGATGTACTCACGAGTTGCTCTGAGTGGGAGCTGACTCGAGGGCACCTAACCACAACAGTCACACTGCACAGCAAGCACTGATGGTAGCCTCCAACGGGGCCCTCACCAAGGCGAGTGTGTGCGGTTTACAAGGACCAGACTCTGGTCCTAAGACGCTCACATCAAAGGAATGAAGGGGAATGGATAGAGATACAGAGTATTCTTCCACTCTTCCTCATTGCCCAGGGAAATCCCCCTGAAGTAAGAATGAGGAAATCGTATATGTTGGAAAAGATTTCTAACTTTAACTGTATTTTCTCTAAAACTTACATTTGAATATGAATGTGCATTGCATACAACTGAAAACCATAAAGATGTTCATTTTAAGCAGCCGCCATGAATAACACTTGTCAGATGAGTGATTCAAGGATTCTGAACTGGAACTGCCTCGGCCCTTTCCAAGCAGTGCACATTGTCTACCTGTGAAGAGCCTACCAGCTGAAGGCTATAGAACATCACGATGTGTTTGGTTTCAATGAACTATCCAAGTGACAAACGCTCAATTGGCAAAGGTGTGCTAGCTTACAAATTCCACAAGGCTGAATGAATAGAAATCACAGTTCACATATGAAAGATTGGTAGGTGCATAATCTACTTTATTATTTTAAAAAGCAACAGATTTCAACACATAATTATACATAATAGAATATTTAGGAAAATTCAGAGGGATCAATATCAAAATGTACCGCACTAAATAGACTTACTTATAAAAACATCTTGTCTTTGCCATGTGAAAATCTCGTGTTCAGTTCTCTTGATTTCTTTATTAGAGCTTTTTTCTGAGCGTCATCAAAGCGATTCACCTTGAGATCCTTATCCCGGTCAAACGGTATTCTTTCTTGGGGCTTATTTCTATCTTCCGCAGTCTTACTCTTTAATTTCTTATGATGCATGTCCATGAGAGATTCTGATCTTTTGGAGTCCTGGAGAAAGCAAGGTAACAGAAATTGAATTCTTAGTGCTTTCTAATGATTGACAGATAGACTTATGAAACAAAGTACTCAGAGAGTAAAGAAGCCTGGGGGTGCTGCTGACTAAGTGGTGGACTATAAACTGCAAGGTTGGTGGTTCAAATCCAACTGTTGCTCTTCGGGAGAAAGATGAGTTTATTCTTGCCTGGAAAGATTTACAGTTTCTGAAACCATACAGGGTCACTGAGCACTGAGTCCGAATTGACCCAAAGGCAGTGGGTTAAAGTAACCTCTATGGAGAAAATATGTATCAGAGACAAATTCAATTCAACCAGAAGAAAAATGTCAACTTAGGCTAGGGGGAAAAAAAAAAAAGACAGAAATAAGCATTAAACTAACCATAGTGAAAAGTATCCCACGATGTGTCAATATTAACATGCGAATTCAGAACATGGCTGTGAAAGGAAGGACCATGACCTTCTCACTTGGGAGCCTGGTTAAAGCTCCCTGGGTGCTCTGCTCCTGGAATTCTGAACTGCATTTTAACAAGAGGATTGGTGAAGGTCACTCCCTGGGCAAATGGGAGAAAGGCGGGTACTGAGCAAGCGCCCCCGATGCCTGGGTGGGTATGTGGCATGCTTTCTAACTGGGAAGGGTTGGTTGGTTCTTGCATCTTGCTTTCTCATTCCCTTCTCCTTCGTCGGCCAACAAACACTAGGCCTTCACATTCGCAGACATCTGCAGCACGGCGAAGCTTAAGCAGAGGCAAAGAACTGGGTCAGGAACGTCACAGAACGGTGCTGCAGTGGGAGGCCATGAGGGGGAGCGGGGACACAGACAGTACAGACCAGCAGTCTTCAAAACGGAGGACACCCGGGACCTCCATAAGCTCATGGCACAATTCCCTTATCTTTCAATTCAAATTTTCCACCAACTTTTTGAAGCTTCTATGTATCCTTCAAGGCTAAAGAGAGTGGATTCCAAGGGGTATAACTCACTTCCATAGAGCTGGATCTGACTCACAGTGACCCTACCAGACAGGTTCTTCTGAGGAGCGACTGGGGGCTTCGGATGGCTGGTCTTGCAGTTACACCACCAGAGAAAGTTTCGGGGCAATCAGTCCAAGTTCTAGACATTTCTTATGCAGCCTCTCTTAGAACTGCTTTGCTGGACCACGTGTCTCCAAAGGTCCCTGGGCCCTTTTGATCTGGTCCTGTTTTCAGTTGCCAGAGAAGAGGCACCGTGCTCCCACCACAGACTGTGGCCAAGGATCCCTACCAGTGTCAGGGCTCTGGCTTCCTGATCAAACCGATCTCCACATCAAAGTAAAAACTGAAAATATCGCAGGAGCTGCATTTAAGAGACCCTACATGACAGAGGCCAGTACTTTTTAGGACAGAGGTGTAAAAACAGACAAAGGTAAAAGGGAAGATGTATAAAAAAAGAGAAAAACAAACAATAAACATAAGAGGAAAAATGATAGAAGAATGAAGAGAGAAAAATGAAAAGGTGAGGCATTTTATTCCTTTACTTACATTATAGGAGGATACCTGCTCAGCCAACCTCTTATCTCTTCCTGACAATACACGTTCTTCATCCTTCTTGCTGAATGGCTTCTTTGCTTCTTGAGTTTCCTGAGGAATGAACATAGGCAACATGAGTTAATGAGCTGTGTGATTACGGACGAATAAGTGAACGCTGAGTACCGTATATACTCGTGTATGAGCTGAGTTTTTCAGCACATTTTTTGTAAAGGTTTACTTCTATTTTATTTACCATTCAAACATATTTGGCTATGTATTTTTTCTTTTTAGTTTTCATCAGATTTATATTATCTTTTCTTTTTTTAAAAATGCTTTTATTGGGGCTCTTATATCTCTTATCACAATCCATACATTCATCCAGTGTGTCAAGCACATTTGCACATATGCTGCCATCATTTTCAAAGTGTTCTCTTCCCACTTGAGCCCCTGATATCAGCTCCCCAATTCTTTCCCCTTCCTCCACTGCCCGCCCTCCCTCCCTCACGAACCCTTGATAAGTTATAGATTGTTATTTCCATCTTACATCATCCTGTTGCCCCTCACCCACTTTTCCGTTATTCGTCCCCCTGGGAGGGGGTTTCAGATTGATCCTTGTGATCAATTCCCCCTTTCTCCCCCCACCCTCCCCTAATCCTCCTGGCTTCTCTACTCTCCTTGTTGGCCAAGGGGTTTATCTATCCTGGATTCCCGTTGTTGCGGGCTTTTATCTGACTTCCTCCTCTTCATCTTCAGATCCAAAAAGAACTTGGGAAGTTGCTATGAACCTCAGGACAGGTGCTAACATATGGAGACTTCACCAAACCATCCATGTTGGTACAACAACGGATTGTTTCACAACCAACTCTCCACTAAAATGAAAACCCTGTCAGGAGCCTTTTCCTGGTTCTGTAACCTGCAACCCAGCACAGGGGCAGGCTTACTAAGTCCTCAGGTCAGGGTTACAGAATCCAGATCGAAACCCTGTCCCTTCAAAGCAATGCTGAGCAGCATAAAAATCTAAAGTGAGGATTTAACAGTGGAACGTTTCAATTAAAGTGCTGAAGCTAGAATCTAAAGGTGACAATTAGCTATGCCTAGAAAATCTGAATTTAACATCTTAAGGAAATACACACCATGGATTAAACTTCAGGAGCCATGCTGAGGGCATGGTTCAACTCCTCAAGTCCAATGGAAGAGCTCACCATGAGCAGAAAGACTTATGAGGAGGAAATCGAAAAATAATAAGGATTTCCCTCCCTCCCTACTGACATCTGGCTGATTTGCGGATTCCTCAGTTTACTGTATTACTGCAAGTGCTTATCTATCTTGACAGTAGCACGAAGCTGAGTCCACTTGAAAAACTGGCATTTACAGTTTCGCTGTATGGCGACCTCGCTAGATTACCCTGCAGCTACCCTGGTTCCTCCTAAAAAGAAATCTCATAATTCTAATACATCAGATTTTAAAAGATGAGTTCATGGAGCTAATAGAAACTATAAATGCCAGAGAACGTAGTTACACATGTCTAGAATGAAGTTTTGATCCCTAAGTTAACAGCTCTATCACCTTACAAAAGACCTCACAGAGATGAGTCGCTCTAACTAAATCTGCATCTCTGAGTATTCTTGAGGCTTCAGTGAGACAATGTACTACAAACAGTAAGCAAGGGATGGTGCTTTCCTTATCACTGTTCTTCCTGGGGAAAAAAATCTGGATTTCCCCTTCAGAATCACACATTTTTTTCAACACTTTTGCTGACGAGCTGACAGTGATTCATAATGGCCCTACAGGACAAAGCAGAACTGCCCCACAGGATGTCCAGGGCTGTCGATCTTTATAGAAGCAGACTGTCACAATGCTCTCCCTTGTTGTAGCTGGTGGGTTAGAACTGCTGACCTTTTCATTAAGTCGTTGAGCACTAACCAGTGTGCCCCAGGGCTTCTCTTAACAAAAATACTAATAAAAATAAAACCTCTCACTTTAGCTTTCCTTTCTCTGTCGGCTGGCGTGTCTGTCCAGACTGATCGATCTCCGGATCTGTCATCAGCTCTTCTCTTAAATGTTCTTGGTCCCAGACCAAATGCTTTCAGCTCCGGAGGAAGCTCCGTCATCCAGGACTCCCTCGTCATTGCTTTGGGCGAATCCTGTCAGTGAAATCAGAGATTAAAAACAACACAAGAGAGCAGTGCTGTACAAGAATGCTGTACATGAAATTTAAGGTTAACAAGTATAGAAAGAAGGGATGTTCTTACATCCTTGGCAACAATGAACAAGATCTTAATATTGTGCTAATTTGCTAAGATTCTCTTATTTTTGTGTGAAGTCGAATTTTCCTATCTGTTACTGAGTTTGGACATTTTTTCAAATGCTTATTAGCTGTTTGCACTTCCTCTTCTGAACGGCCTGTTCATGGCCTCTACGCACCGTCTCCTGGATTGATTTTGTTCTTCCCCATCTGCCGGGGCTCTGTGCTTCAGTGAGCAGTCCTTGGTCACACACGGTGTGCCCGCTGTCATTGCACCCGCCAGCTCTGACCTCATGCGATCTTTCAGCACGAGGACGAGTTGGCCAGTGTTTTTGTGGATCGCTTCCGGGTTATCATGGTCTTGCTACTTACTGTGTTGGAGGTGAAGAGCTACACAGCGGATCACCTTCCCATTTACCAAGTTCTACACGAATCCGTCAGTGACGTCGGTGACCATTCTCATGTGTCACCACCCTCCGCCTTTCAGTCTGACTGGACGACGTCCAGGACTCTAGCTCTGTGCTCCTTTACCTCCTCATCTTTGCTTCAGAGTGACTTTGCACTAGTTGGTCTCCCAGAGCGGAGGTCTTTACAGGAGGAGATCCTTACAGGTAAGTCTGTAGTGTATGAACCAGTTTAGGGTTTGTAGCTAAAAGGTGACCTCAAGGGATAATTTCAGTTAAGGTTAATGCACGATTTGTTTCTTAAACTTGATTTTTGAAAATCTGCTTTTCTTTTGTTGATGTTGTTAAGAAACAACCAATTGAACAGCTTCCACACTTACAATTCAGTGGCCCTGGTTACCTGCCCCTCCTCCTTCAGAGCTGTGTCGGCCCTGTTCCCCTGAACCCGTTCCCCACCCAGGTTCCTCTCAGACCATTCAAGCTGCTGCTGTCTGCCAGCTCCCACAGAGAGCGCTTGGAGAACACAGAGCTGAAGGCAGGCAGTTTTCCCTCGTTCTGCTAAATGGTTCCTTGGTTTTCAGAAGACTTCGGGGCTCATTCTTAAAGATTACCTGAGGGCAGAAGCTTTTGGGTAATTTTCTCGATGGATTAGATAGATAGATAGATAGATAGATAGATAGATAGATAGATAGATAGATAGATAAGAGAGAGAAAGATGTTACAACTTTGTTTTTAAAATTGGGAATCCCCACCCCCATGCACTCTGCCTCGTTGAGTTCCGTGTCTATGAACTTACATCTCCTTTAGTCAGTTTTTCTTTCATTCGCTGGGCCCTCTTTTCGAACTCTGTTGCGACGCTGTCGATAACTGGTCCTTTCGCTGGCATTGGTCCAACAATGTCCTCATCGTCTTCACTACTATCCGTTTCCTTGTAAAATAAGACATTACCTTTCACTGAAAAGCAGAGTGACAAGTGATACGCTAGGCTCCTAAATTACTTTAAAATTTAACTTAATTTGATTACCAAGTGATAAAAATGCAAAAAAGTTAGCATTGTATTCCTGGCTCAGTGAACAAGGAGACACTACCAAAAAAAGTAAAACCAATTTCAGCAACAACTTGAAGCCAGTAACTCAGGTGCACACACAGGGCGTGTGGGTTGTCACATTTCTTGCATGTCCCTACTGTCGCTGCGACAAGCTGCTGTGCCTGGGCCCCAGTGGACCTCATCAATTTACCTTAGTTCTCTTCCAAATGGGCACAGATGTGGCCCAGAATCTTTTGTACTAGAAGTCCGGGGTAGCTCCTATCAACTTGTCCAAGCTGATACAGTTGGACACCTTGCTGTCTTGCTGGCACACGTCCACTCTCTGGGATGAGATGCACACTGTCTTCCAGGTGCAGCATCGTGCACTCACGAGAGGAGCCCCAAGGGAGTCTTTCTTCACTCAGCACCGAGGCTGCCACAGCATCGTAATACATGAATCCCACTGACGCCTCGCAATCAGCAATCATCTCAAGCAAGGGTTTCCTCATGTATGTGCACTATATACACTAACTTTAAAGGCAGTTCCTATCCTCAAGACGAGAGGTGAGCGGGCTTCAAAAAGGTTGAAAGGTTGTGGAGAAATGGAATTAGAAGCTAACGGAATTGTCCCTGCAACGCCCCCCATCCACCCCACTTTCTGAAGCCTCCTCACATTAACAACAATGGCATAACTATCTTCCAGCTCGGACAGGCAGCTTCCTCCTATTTGTTTTCAAGCTCCCAGAATGAGGAATTCATCTGTATTGTTTCCATTTCCTGGACATTTATAATGTTCTGAAATTTATTTTCCGAACTCTCACGGTAACTATTATTAAAATTAAACACATATAAACTATCTTAGTTTATTCTAAACTACATGCACGTGTAACCTTGTAATATCTATGGGCTTTGGCATACAAGGCCTATTTGAGTCTTATTACAAGACTGAGTTGAGCATTAATATTCTTATTTTCCTTGTGAGGAAAAGTAGGCTTAGAAAAGATACAGAAGACATTGGAAGACTGAGCAACTAGCTGAGAGGCTGTCAGTTCAAACCCACTAAGACCTGATAATCTGCTTCCGATAGATCAGAGCCTTGAGCACCCTACAGCAGAATTCTCCTGGCACACATGGACTGGCATTAACAGGTCGGCAATTAACAACAACAAATAGAAATCCTCAGTGGTATAAAGGATGCAATGAATTGTTTAAATGCTCAGAAACATGGTATCCATATATTATGGTTTTAAAATACGCAGATGGAAGTTTTGTTTTCATCTGTTAACAGATGGTTTTATATGACGGTAGAGTTTCAGCAGGCTGACATGTGAAACTTGTGTAAAAGCCGTTAGGAGGCTGGGAGACATAAACTAAACAGGTGGCTGGAGAAACAAGAGAAAAAGGAGGCCTAGCATGGCAACTGACAATCAGAAGCCAGGATAAAAGCATTAAATTCCAGGTATTAAATCATTATAGTGTCCCGGACAAGATAATTCTTGGTCCATCTGCCCACGAAATACCATAGAAATTATGTACTACACTAGTTTTCAGTTTGGGCTGTCGAGTTAGAACGAGTGTCCTGCCTTCAATTTGCCATCTAGTTGCACCTGTGCCTGAGGGGTATATCGATTCTAGGCCTGAGTTTCCCTCGGCTCTTAGATGGAGTTCATGAAAACCCCAGCCAGTAATTCCTGTATTACCAAGTGCATCCTGCATTTGTTTATCCTCTTTCCCTGCCTTCTGGGAAAGAATAATACGAGGGGTACCTACCAAAAAAAAGGAAATCCCCTCCCCCCAAAAAAACCCTACGTATTAAATTTTTTTTTAACAAAACGTTATTACCTTCAAAGTACTCTTCATTACACTTAATACATTTGTGAAATCTGCAATTCCATTCTTGGGAACATTTTTCAAATTCTTCTGTTTGGATGGCCGACAGCACCTCCATCGACTTTTTCGTCACCTCTTCTACATTGTCTTGTCACAGATCTTTCACATCCCATTTCATTCACAGAAACAAAAAGAAGTGGCATGGAGCGAGGCCAGGTGAGTCAGGTGTGTGGGGCAAAAGAGGCATGTTGTTGTTTTTTGCCAAAAGTTGGTGTGCTGAGAGGGCTACATGAACAGGTGCAATGTCATGGTGGCAAAACCAGTCTCCCATCTGGCACAAATCAGGGGGTTTTTTTTTGGTTGCACACTGTTACGCAATCTTTTCAGAACCTCTAAATAGAAAGCTTGATTAACAGTCTGACCTGGTGGAACAAACTCAAAATGCACTATCCCCCGCACATCAAAATAACAAATGAGCATCGTCTTGATCTTTGATTTCACTTTTTTTTGGACAAGGTGACGATGGTGTCTCCCACTGGCTTTACTGATGTTTGCTTTTGGGGTCCTAAGAATAGTACCTTGGGTGGAGAGCAAATGATGAGGCCAATGAATGTACAAATGTGCTTTGCACAATTGATGTATGTATGGAGTGTGATAAGAGTTGTATGAGTCCCTAATAAAACAATTAAAAAAAAAAAAAGAATAGTGCCATGTCTCGTCATCAGTAATGACCTTGGAAAGAAAGTTAGGGTCGCTTTAGAGCTGTTCTTTCAAAGCACAGCATGTTTCCACTTAATGCTTTTTCCTGGTCAGAACCCGAGGCAAAAATTTCACAGCGACCCTTCTCATTCCCAAATCTTCTGTTAAAATTCACTGAACCAAGCTCCAAAATAATCAAGATAACTTCCCCATCTCTTCAATGGTCTAGCGTTGGTCTTCTTGCAAAGTACATGGATCTTGTCAACGTTTTTGTCCGTTCAGGAAGTTGACAGACGTCCAGAATGAGGTTTGTCATCAATCGACATTTCACCTTTTTAGAAATGAGAAAACCACTCGTACACTTGAATTTTTCCCATAGCGCTGTCCTTGTAAGCTGTGTTCAACATCACAACAGAAATGCCACATGCTGTTTTCTTAAATTGACCATCACAATAAAGGAAGTTTGAGCGAAACTGCTTTTATGAAAAAACTCACTGTGCCCATAGAGAACCTTCCCAGTGATGCCACTGGGTGCACTAACTCAGAACGAGTTGCTCGATGCTTGCCTAGCGGGAAAAATGCATTTTACGAAAGCTTGCTGAGCTTTCCTTTTGGGGGGGAGAGGGAGAGGGGAGGGTACCCACTCGCATGTCTCACCAGTCTCTTTTTTGGTCTCATTCCTATTGCCCAAACAGCTGGCTTAGATGTGGGTATACGACACAATTAGGGTAAAGCCAGGAAGGGTGGGCTACAGAAAACCATTTGGAAAGGTTTTCATTGCTCTAAAACAAGGGCACAGGATAGGGACCATTCTCCTTCCTGTGTCCAGACACTGACATCTGTGTGTGTGTCTTACAACTCTGACGGCTTCTTGGTACAATGAGGGAGTCTGTCTCAGAGGACTGATGAATATGCAGTAAGTTACGAAGCAGAACAGTGAAGAAATCCTCAACCTTTGGTGACAGCATTAAGCTGCTGAATTTACGAACTCTGGAACAACCATATCTTCAAAATACCCTTACAATGTGTTTTGAAAACGTTTCTCTCATTTGAGAATAGAGAATAAACGACCCCTCTGCTCAATAAGGTAAAACCAAGCGCCACTTTGAGGGGATCTTCTGTTACTTGCAGCGGAAAGCATCCTGGCTGAGAAAGCACCACGTAGGACTGCTCAGAGGAGCCCTGGTGGTGTAGTGGTTAAGCACTGGGTGCAAGCCACATGGCCAGCAGTTCCAAACTACCAGCTGCTTCGCAGGAAAAAGATGAGGCTTCCATTCCTGTAAAGAGTTTCAGTTTTGGAAACCCACATGGCAGTTCTATGCTGCCCTAGAGGGTCCCTGTGAGTCAGGATTGAATCAATGGCAGTGAGTTTGAGCTTGATGACTGCTTGCATTAATGTCTTGCATTAAATGTGCATCAACTGAGACCTCTGGGGTGACATGCCCGGCTACTAGGATGCAGTCGAAGTGCTCAACAAACGCCAATCAGAAGTGCTGCTAGGCCTGTCTTGGTTTGCGGGCGTATGTTGAGAAAGAGACTAAGAGGACTCCCTCTTTGAGAAAGAAAAGTACAAATGCAAACTTAGAAGTACCTTTTCAAGATGAGTTCGTTAAAAGGGATTTGCTGAAGCAAATCAGAATCAAGAGTACCTCAAAGAGATAAACTATGGTGCAATCCCTGACCCAGCCTCCCCTTCAATCTCTGGGAAGCAGAAGCTAGAGAAGGTAGCCACCCAGAGAATTACACAAACAACGCAGCTCCTCAGCAAGCAGATTAAGACAGCTTTTCACAGAGGGAGAAAGTGGAATTTTGCTACACCTTTCAGATTTTTTCCCAACATGCTAAAAATTTTAAACCTCTGCAAAAGTGTGAAGACATCATAAAAACTCAAAACTCACTGCCATCCAGTCAATGCTTACTCATAGTGACCCCTGTGGGTTTCCGAGACTATAACTGCTTACAGGAGTAGAAAGCCCAGTCTTTCTCCCGAGGGGCTGCTGGTGGTTTCGAACTGATGACTGTGGATCACAGCCCAATAATGCATAACCACCACAACAGCAGCTCTCCCTAAGACATTATAACTAGTACAAAGACTATCCATGTGCCTCCAGCCCAAAATATTTTACCACATCTATTTCTTCTCCTGCACCCTACCCTACCCTCAAACCATGTGAAAGCAGTGCAGACAAGGTGTCTTCAAAAAGACCATAGAAAAACTCTATCTCCTTTTAATTCCATATTGCCATGAACTATATGAATTTGTATACAGCATGACAGGGCCTTAAGCTGAAGCAAGCTTCCCTGCTGTTTTCCCAGGACAGTGGGCTACATTTCTCTATTGCTCTCTTTGCAGACGGAGTACACTGACCAGTAAGACAAGTGAAAGACAACATGGGTATGATGACCAGCACAAGCGGTTGGAATATGGATGTCTTTTTTTGTGGGATGGGACAACAGAATTTGCTAACATACTTGCTAACATAATCATTTCTGTAACTTTGTACCTGCTACACAGATCTTTAACATTCTGTTAAAAGAATGATGCTTTCAACAAATAATGCTAAGAAGTTCACGATCTTAAATCATTGTATTATGTTCTTTCAAGAACAGCCCCACCCTAACTGTTGAATTCTCACTGGAGAACTCAGGGTCTTCATTACCTGATTTCACATGCAGGTGGACACTAAAGTCTAAGACAGCGGTTCTCAACCTATGGGTCACGACCCTCTGGGGGCCGAATGACCCTTTCACAGGGGTTGCCTAAGACCACCGGAAAACATTTCTGATGGTCTTAGGATCCGAGACACAGCTCCTTATCTGTCTCCAGGGGGGTCTGCCAAAATGCAGATACGCCCACAGATGAGTACCCACCGTGAAGACTGTTACACCATTCTTCCAGATAAAACTTCATTTATTTGTCATTAGAAATATTTATTTCACAATATATAATGACATATTGTTTTTGTGATTAATCACTATGCTTTAAATATGTTCAATTTGTAACATTGAAAATACATCCCGCATATCAGATATGTACATTATGATTCATAACAGTAGCAAAATTACAGTTATGAAGTAGCAACAAAAATAATTTTATGGTTGGGGGTCACCACAACATGAGAAGCTGTATGAAAGAGTTGCAACATTAGGAAGGTTGAGAACCACTGGTCTAAGAGAATCAATAAGTGATTTAAAGACACAAGAACTAGCCCTGATCCTGGACTTTGGTAAGGATAAGCTGTGTGATCCTGGGCCAATTCCCTAATTTTTCCAGGCCTTTAGTCTCTTGTAATATGCAGATAATATTTCATGATGGTCTGGTTAAATTAAAAATAAAATCCATAGATGGGAAAACGCATGACAACTGATACTCTGTAAATCTCAGCTAGCCTCAAGCTTGTAACTAGAAACACAGCCTTCCTACTTCAGCCCCTGAATCACTGGACCCACCTTCTCGTAAAATCACGTATCCACCTGTGTGCATATTGCATACAGTTAGCAGAGGTGGGAAGCACAGCAGTTACAACATTAAGGATAAAAACCACAGGTAAAAGCTCTCTCATGCTTTATTTTATAAACATTTCATAGACAACACCCTGCCGAAATATAACAGCTGTGCTATTTGTGTAATGGAATCTTAAACTTATGTCAACTTTTGTTTTCACCTATTTATGTTCCGAAATTAAACTAATCTAAATACAAAGCATTCCATCACAGCCAAGTCAAATGGTTGTAGCTGTCACTGCACAAAGTTGTAGGCTTATTTCATCATATTCTTTAAGCTAAAAGTTCCCAACCTCAGAGTTGAAATATGAAGCTTGTCCTGGATCATCTCTGCCTCGGTCACTTTTCTGTGTAGATTTAATAAAACCAGGCGGTAATGCAGGACCAATTATTGGCCTGAAAGAGAAAATGCATCTTTATCATCCTCCCTGACAGCTTTCTGGTAACAGCTCACAAACTAACAGCTGGATACTAACAACTGTTGAAAATAAGAATTGTAGATAGCACTGGTATTTCCTTAGTCTGGGTACTTTCTCCAAGCATTACCTGTAGATCTCCAGTTGATCTAATTTTTACATTTCAACTTTCTGCTTCTTGAGGGTCAGACACTGACTCGTTAATCTGTGGCGATCTTTGTGGCACTGGCATATGCTTTATGTAGGAGCCCTGGTGGTGTGGTGGGTTATGCCTTCAACAGCTAACCAAGGGGTTAGGAGTTCAAAACCACCAGCAGATCCATAGTGGAATGGTGAAACTTTCTACTCCTATAAAGACAATCTCAGAAAGCCGCAGGGGAAGTTCTATCCTGCTCTATGGGGTCGCTATGAATTGAAATCAACTTGATAGCAGAGAGAGACTGTGGATTAAAACCTATGAAGATCCTGATCTATTTTGTGCCTTGGCTTTCAGTTTTGGTAATCCTTGTCTACAGAAAAATACCTTAAGAGTCTGGTAGTCACAGACCTAGAAAAAAACAAATCAAAAATACAAAAACCAAGAAAATCCATAAACATAAAAACACAAACCCACTGTCATCAAGTCAGCTCAGACTCAGAGACCCTACTGGACAGGGTGGAACTGCTCCACATGGTTCCTGGAGTTGTCAATCTTCAAGGAACCAGACGGCTTCATCTTTCTCCTGGAGGGGCTGATGTACTTGAACCACTGACGTTCTGCTTAGCAGCCCCGTGCTGAATCCACCACCAGGGGTCCTTGGAACCCAAACTACTGAAGTATAAAATGAGTTCTTGTAAGGATAGCTACTGCATGTGCAATATACGGCACGTGCAATATGCATTGTCCTAATAATACAAAAGGGCATGGCAGTGTGGAAGAATGCCTCTAGCTCACTCATTCAGAAGAAAAAGGTGTGGTATTGGCCCATGCTCCAACCAGTACCCCCATGGTTTCCTCACAACTATCTTAGTTGCTATAAATAAAACTCCAAAACACACTGCCATCAACTTGATTCCAATTCATAATGACCCCACGTAGGGTCAATTCTGAGGCTGTAAATCTTTATGGGAACAGAGAGCCTCCTCTTTCTCCCAGAGTGGCTGGTGGGGTTGAATTTCTAACCTCGCAGTTAGCAGTCCAATGCTCACCCACAGCATCACCATACATACTTGTGAAAAGCGCGTCCAAAGTCAACTAACAGGTAAGAGGCAGAGCTGGAGTTGGACCTCTGGTCTACGTGATGCCAGAGGGCATTTGTTTTTGAGTTGCATTTGACACTTTATGAGGAAACTGTAATCAGTTCAAAAGGAGACTAGCAATGCTGGGTCTTACCAAAAGAAAGCCTGACTTAGGAAGAAAAGGGAAAATAAGTTTATTTCTATAGTCTTTCAAACACTCAAGTTTCTTTATTGTTTCTTTCATATGAAAGATCTTCCCTCAGCCAGTGCTGTGCCAGTACACCAACAAAGATGGCCGGCTCTGAAGGCCTAAGCTCACTGTGTTTCACTGTGCCCAACCAGAGCCTCAAACACAGGCTTCCTGACACGGGGACAACAGTGCCCACTTGTTCATGACCTTCTTGTCTGGTTCATAAAACCACCTGGAGTCAGATCTATTTCACACATGAAAACCAGGGGAGTCAGTGTAGCTGTTGTTGTCAGTACCCACCGAGTCTGTTCTAGTGACTCTGAGGACCACGGAACGAAACACCGCCCAGTCCTGTGCCATCCCTGCTACACCTGAAAGGGACAAAACTGTGTCACCTAGGAAATGCCAATCTGATTATATAAGCTGTGACACAGAACAAGTCATGCACTGTTCTTTTTGTTCTCTGAATGAAATAGGGTTTGTTGTGGAATTTAAATATTTCATTTTAAAAACTTAATTTAGGGAAGATAGGAATCACTATTTATTAAATGTTAATTCTTTGCCAGATACCAAATGAAGACATGTACATATCCACACATGTACATAAAAAAGATCTTAGGAAGCACAGCAATTCTGAAAGGCAGATAGTATCATCCCATTTCAAAGTACCATGGACAGTCAGAAGAACAGACAAATCGGTGTGGGAAGAAGGTCAGCCAGAATATGGCTTGGAAGTGAAGGTGGTGAGACTCTCATGTACATTGGACATGCTACCTACCAGGAGCCCAGTCACTGGAAAAGCGCATCGTGCTTAGAAACCTATGGGGGCAGAGAACAAGAGGAAGGCCCTTGGCGGGACGAATTGACCCAGTGGCTGCAACAATGGGCTCAAACAGTACAATTGTGCAGATGATGCCGGAGTGGGCAGTGTTTGGTTCTGTCGTACACAGCACAGCTGTGAGTTGGAACCCACTGGACAGTACCTAACAGCGGCAACAAGTGGAAATACTTAGCCAACAGCGGACTGAAAGACGACATATGTATCACCTCGGAGGAGAATCATCCTGCTTTTTAAATCCAGGAGGAAGGGCTGGTCCAAAAAACCCGTCATCATCGTCATCCTCCCCATGATCCTGATTTCTCCTCTGTTTCCTAGAAATACAACAGTATAACTTTATCTATGCATACATCCAAAACACTATTCTCAAAGATAAAGTTTAATTTTAAAAAGGAAGTTTAACGGCAACCAGTCAAGTAAACATCTAAAAAAGGGCAAAATTTGCCAAATAAGAAAAAAAAGACCACCACCCCAATTCTTTAAAAAAAAATCATTTTATTGGGGGCTCATACAACTCTCATCACAATCCACGCAACCCTGATTCTTTTTTTTTTTTTTTAAACATTTTATTAGGGTCTCATACAACTGTTATCGCAATCCATACACACATCAATTGTGTAAAGCGCATTTGTACATCGTTTCTCAAAACATTTTCTCTCCACTTAAACCCCCGACATTAGGTGCTCATTTTTCCCCTCCCTCCCCGCTCCCTCCTCCCTCGTGAGCCCTTGATAGTTTATAAATTGGTATTTTGTCATATCTTGCCCTGTCCGACGTCTCCCTTCACCCACTTTTCGGTTGTCTGTCCCCCAGGGAGGAGGTCACATATAGTTCCTTGTAATCGGTTCCCTCTTTCCTACCCATTCTCCCTTTACCTTCCCTGTTTCGCCACTCACACCACTGGTCCTGTAGGGCTCATCTGCCCTGGATTCCCTGTATTTTCAGTTCCTATCTGTACCAGTGTACATCCTCTGGTCTAGCCAGACTTGCAAGGTCGAATTCGAGTCATGGTAGTGGGAGCGGGGAGGAAACATTTAGGAACTAGAGGAAAGTTGTATTTCTCATCGTTGTTACATTGCACCCTGACTGGCTCATCTCCTCCCCGAGAGCCCTCTGCAAGGGGATCTCCAATGGCATACTACTGGCAACCCTGATTCTTATACTACGATTTTCCTGACATTTTTGGCCTAGCAATAGTTTGGTAGTGGTTATTTTTTTATAACCTTAATACATCAAATTCCAATTTCCTATACTTTCTGTGGTATTAAAAATTCTACTTAATGAAGTACTGAATAGCCTCCTTGCTGATGTTTCTAAGTAAAAAGTTTATGACAGTCACTTTTAGATTCACTTAGGGCAGCATTTTCTGTCTCGCAAACTTTAAAGTTGATGAAAAAACCTGCTATCTAATAATGAACAAAGACTTGACTTCTAGTCATGATTCCGTGGTGGCAATGGCCGCATTAGAAAAGGCATCAGATCTGCAGCACAGGAAGTAGGAGGAGATGGAATGCGTGGTTAAGAACAGCCACTTCTTTGCCACGAGAGCAGAAGAACTGGATGGTGCCTAGCAATGACGACAAACCATTTTGATCAAAGTGTCTATATAAGAGGGACAGAAAAAGAGGGCGAGGGTGGAGGGACACACAATTTGAAGAATGACATCAGTGTCTTGGCCCCGTATATGTGGAACCTGCTAGACTGTTGTATGCTCTGCTCTTCAACGACAAATTAAAAAAAAATAGTCTTGATAGTATTTCACTTAGTTAAATAAAAAAAATACACTCCATGTAAAATAAAAATCATAGCTTATTAAAGATCGTTAGCCACTTGAATAACATCTTAAGAAAAGCTCTTTAGGTTAAAAACCTGCTGACATTTCAGGCACGGCTATACATGAGTGGAGTGCATTGCTCTGTAAAACAGAGTTCATGGCAGAATGCCACATGTAAAGGCTGCCTTCTGGCCCGCGGAAACACCGATCTGCTCCCCCTTCTCTGTTCCAGCTTACTGCCACAGGTTTCCAGCTTGGCTTAGCATTTAAGTAAGTGACAGACCTGGCAGGTGGACCAGTGTCATCTTCTTCAGACTCTTGAGTTCTTTCTTCATCCAAAGAACTGCTGTCTTCGTCGCTGTCTGAGGAACCAGAACTGCTGCTTTTATAATCAGGGGGCAAAGCAGGTCCTGCAACTGGAACAGATTTGTTGTGTATGTGAGAACTAATCACAAGTGCTCCAGCGAACCCTCTCAGTGGGCATTCTTCACTGCCCTCTGCACTCACAGCTCTGGCTGGCTGTCATTCACTATGAACTTTCCTAGCATTGGCTCACACAGAACACCCATGGTGAGGAAGGCACAGGACTGGCAGCATTGTGTTCTGTTGTACACAGGGTCACTATGAGTCAGAACTGATTTGATAGTCATCGACAACAGCATTTGCTAATGTTTTGTGTACAGTGGTTTTGTCTTCCCAATTACATTGTGGGCTCTAGAAAGGCAGAGATGATGCCTTATGTAGTACAACTAGAATATTCACAATGGCAGTATCCAAACTTATTCAATTCTCACCAGCAGCATATAATTTCTCCAATGACATAGTTTTTATATCGAAAGATCCACTTGCCAGAAGAGTTATGTTACTTTTTTCTTACAGAGGGAGTCCTGGTAACAGTGAGTTGTGTTGGGCTGCTGCCAACCCCAAGGTCAGCAGTTTGAAACCACCAAGCACTCCATGGGAGAAAGATGAGGCAGGCTGTCTACTCCTGTCAAGAGTTAGTCTCAGGAACCCATAAGGGGAATTCTTCCCTGTCCTAAAAGGTTGCTATGGGTCAGAACTGACTTGATGATAGTGAGTTTTTTGGTTTTCTCATAGACAGCAATGTATGGTAGACACACTAATGTCAGAGTTAATCAACCTATGTGCTATTCCAAATGCTAATATATAAAAAACCTGGCCACAGTAACACCTATTAAGTGTTTAAAGATGAAAAGAGAAGAGGTACAAAAGAAACAAAGAGAAGATGGTAGAAAAACTTGACAAAATTATAAAAATAAATCACAATCAAAATATCTATCTGGGTGATGGGGGTTGCTTGTCTGTCAATCCTGTCTTCACTACAGTCAGAGAATATGGTAAACCTGAATCAATATATGCATAGGAACTCAAGAGGTAATCTCCCTTGACAAATGAAAAACCCACTGTCAAGTGGATTCCATCCCATAGAAGCCCTAAAAGACAGAGTAGAACAGCCCCGCAGGGTTTCCAAAGCTGTGATCTTTATGGAAGCAGATTCTTTCTCCTGCAGAGCAGCTGGTGGGTTCAATCGGCTGACCTTTTCATTAAGCAGCCAAATGCTTTAAAACCTGTGCTATAGAGGGCATGGCCTTTTAAATGGCTGGAAGGTAGAAACATGGCTTAAAAAAAGAAAGAAACATGGCTTAGAAGTAGTCAACGAATGAAATGGGAAGGTTACTCATTCATTTTGCTCCAGCTAGCATGCAAATCTTGATCAACTATTTAGGAAAAAAAAACATTAAAGAATATAATATACACAGTGAAGGGTGAGAAGCATTTATTTAGCAAGTAGCACAGGGAAGGAGAAAGGCATGAGAATGCTTGGGAGAGTGTGGAAGGGTTTCAATGAAGAACGGCAAGGATTCTGTCAGGTGCGTCAAGAAGTGAAAAAAGAACAAGGCCACCAGAAAGCCACGAGCACTGAGCACATGTGCAGGTGCTGGGTCTGGCCTAAACACTGGGCATGTGTGTCATACGATGCCATAAGTGATTAGGGGCACGGCTCCGAAGCAAGCAATCAGAAGAATCTTCCATGAGCCCACCCCCCTCTGCTTTTGTACCTAAGGCAATAAATATAGCACAGAGGTTAGGGCCATGGGCTCCACTGTTCTAATGAAGGGTCTACCAATTACTAGTCGTTTAATCTGGGTATTCGTCAGGACCTCAGCTTTGTCTTTTGTGACATAGAATAGTAATCTTTATACCTAATTGCGCAAATCGAAAAAAACACACGCCAAAAACCTCCTGGTCATCCTGCCAATTCCGACTCGTGACCCTACATAGCCGAGCAGAACGGCTCCGGTGGGTTTCCGAGACTGTAATTTCCCAGGAAGGGGAAAATTCATCCGCGGAGTGCTGGTGGTTTCCAACTGCTGCCCCTGCGGTTGGCAGTGTCGAGTCTCAGCGCTAAATAACAATGTATTATCATTAGGATTACCAGGCCAGAGCTCACGCAACGCACCCTAATTTCTGAGGGGTACCGCACAACTCTCCCCTCGCCCCCCAAGACTAGGGCGTGCGAGGGCACGTCGGCCCGCCTAGTTCCCGCTCTTCCAGGCCCCCAGGCCCCTCCTCGGAGCGCAGGGCCGGCCACCGAGGGGGCTGGCGGGGGGCGCGCCGCCGCTTACCCGGGCTCGGGTCCCTGTCCTCGTCTTCCGACGTCCCGCGGGTGGGGAAGCCGGGCGGCAACGCCGGCCCGATCAAGTCCCTCGCCATCCGCCGCGGCGGAAGCCGAGCCCGCACACGACCCCTTGAGCCGCACCTCTACCCACAGGCAACACGGGCCCCCAGCGCCAAAGCGGGACGTCTTCCGGCACGGACGGATGACGTCGTGGCCCGTGGTTGGCTGTTCGGGGTAATTCGCGGCAACAGGAAGTGACGTTGAAATCTTGTTCCACCCTCGCCGGCCAGATTCCTCCCCAGACAGAATAGCATGGCCGAGCCGGCTGGTGGCTTCGTGACACCTTCGGGATGGTTCCCACCCCCGGAGCTGACTCCCACTTTGGGGCCTTTGCGCGATCCGGGCCGGATGCCGGGCACCTGGGCGCTCTGGGCCACGATGCCGCCGCCCCCACCGCCGCCTGCGTCGTCCCCCGCGGTCGGGTCCGAGCCGTCCTCGGGGGCGCAGCCTCGCCGCGAGTCCCCGGAACCTCCCGGGGCGCCGCCCCCCTTCGACGCCCTGCTGCTCCCCGCGGCGCAGCCCCCCTTCGACGGCCAGCCCCCTCTTGAATCTCAGCCTCCACTCAACGCCCAGCCTCCCTGGAATTACCAGCCCTCGACGTCGTGGTACTGGGGACAGTCTCCGGATGCCTTTCCTCACCATCAGAAGCCTCACAGCCCTGCCGGTATGCTCTTCCCCTCGCCGCATCCCCGTTTGCTATCTCTCTTCCTTCCAACCTTATCAGGTCTCCATTTCTCCTGATTCTTCCGTGCACTGTTGGAGTTAACGCCCCACACTGATTCAGGCTGGCCATTTTCGCCACGTGCTCATTTATTTTAAATTTTTGTTGGACATCTGTGTGCCAAGAACTGGGATAAGAAAATGCTTATGTGGTGTAGCAGCTCCTCAATGTGGGAACAGATAGGCAAACTACTTAGATTATGCATTAGAAGGAAAAGCGTGTTACTAACAGGCAGATGAAACAGGGAAGAATGGTCGATAGAACAGATGTAAATCGGTGATCTGAGTAGGGCTTCCTAAGGAAGGTGACACGGAGCCGCGGACGTAGCTGGAGGGAAAGGGATGTGGGTGAGTGCCACCTCCTTGAGGCAGACGCTGTAAAAAACGGAGACGACCGTGTGACTGGAGGGCAGAGTTTGTGATAGAGTCGTAGACCATTAGAGGGAACTTTGGCTTCAGCTCTCAGGACAGGTTTGGTGCAAGGGAATGACATTTATGTTAGTTACTGTCATCTGTCTAGTGTGATAGGATTTAACTGTGAGGTAGATCAACAAGAACATTAAAACTATCCAAGTGCAAGTGGTACCCACAGGCTAAAGTGATTTTGTTGAAGGTGGAGCACAATAAAGAGGAAAGTAGGATGGATGCCTGAAGGCATTCCAAACGCCATTAAAGAGAACGGTTGGAGATGGGGCAGAGAATGGATGGAACAGAATTGGAAGGGAAGGTCAGGAGTGTGTTTGGAGTAGTCATGTCTCAACTCAAGTACAGCAACCACGTGTCTGCTGGGGGAGTTTGATGCTGATACTGTGGTGCTGGAACAGGTTCGAGTGGAACTTCCAGGCTAAGATGAGGAAGAAAAACCTGGTGATCTTTTAAAGTCAGCCCATGAAAACTATGGATGGAAACAGTCTGCTCTGTAGCTGGTCATGGGGTGTGTAGGATTGGGCAGTTTTGTTCTCTTGTGAATGAGGTTGCCATGTATGGGGCAGGCCAGAGACTCAAAGGAGGCTAAAAGCAAGTGGGATTGAAGTAGCGTAGGGTGAGAAATAAACCGGAATCTCACTGAACGACTTTAAGAGGACTTGGAGGTTCTTCGAATAGTTGGAGACTAATTTTATGGCATTGCTAGGCAACGATAGCTGGAGAGACAAGGCCTTAAAAATGGAAGACTGGATCTAGGAGGCTTTCATAATAATCTAGGCCAAAGATCAGGATTTCTGAGTTGCACTTTGGCAAGATGGAAAGAGGCAGTGGGAGTTAAGAGAAGATGTATTTTACAAGGTTGTGTTTTACCGATGTTAGATTGTTCCTAGAAGAGCTGTCAGGGATTTCACTGTTTCAGTTTTAATATTTAAAGTAACTGAAATGAATTTCATCAGGTTTGATTACCCGTGTCTTTGCTTAGGTGCATAAACAGGCACATGTAATTTCATCAGTATTTATTCATTTGAAAAATACTTATTTGGTAGACAAGCCCAGCTGTAGTTTATTTGAATTTGAACTATGTTTCTAGCAGGCATGAATAGGAGGGTTCGTAGTAAAGTATGGATAACATTCTTTAGTAAATAAAATTTTCAATAATTGTGTAGTTGCAAACATTGATGATCTCTTTTTGGGTTTTTTTTTCAGTCAGGCGCCCCTTTTTCCCACGAAAACATGATGGAAACGTCAATGATTTCAACTTCCCTCCCAGTAGAAATCAGAAAAAAAAGGTATTTTTAAAGATCTTGAATATGACACTCTCACGTTTTCGTATCTTGCATTTGTATCATAGCGATTTGAGTGCTTTGCATCTATTGGTCCTGTAATAGCATCTTGTCTGTATGCAAAGGTTTTTGAAAAACGTATTTATGAAAAATGGGAAACTGGACAAAGGGGACAACTAGAAAGCAATGACTCCAATTTGGGATAGACTCGGGAGTGAAGATAACAGAATCGGGCGTCTACCACAATGCTGATGTTGGTCACCTTAGGGAGAAAAATTGAAGTGCAAATTTTTCTTTTATGAAAGTGGAAACATGAAAAATAAACTAAAAGAAACCCCATAAACCTTTATTTTTAAACATAGAAGGATCCTTTAGGAAATGGTATTTTTGTGTTTTGAAAAACATAATTTTTTAGTTTCCCTTTATAAAGTCAAATAAAATTACTAATTTTAAGCTTTTAACAGTTTACATATCAGTCGTCTATACATGAAATATTGTCTGAAGTTATTCTTTCAGAGTAGCAGGATTTGGGGGTGTTATTTCTATTGTTAATTATTTTAAAATAAGAAAAATAAAACAATTTTCGATTACAGTTTAGAAACCAAAGCTTAAAGTAAACTTCCTTTATTCTCATGTAGTTTACCAATGTGGTCCTTAAGTTCAAAGTGTTATCAATGAAACCATTGATTTAGAAAAACTGGACCGCTTCCATTTGAGCATGAAAACTATCATTAACATTAGCACAATGTTATACAAGTACAATGTGTTAACATAGTCTCAACACTAGGCAATTGGAGAAAATTTCTTATGGAATGGGTAGTAGGAATTTTGTTTTCTTTTTTTTTCTTTTTTAACATTTTATTAGGGGCTCATATAACTGTTATCCCAATCCTTACACACATCAATTGTGTAAAGCGCATTTGTACATCGTTTCTCAAAACATTTTCTCTCCATTTAAACCCCCGACATTAGGTCCTCATTTTTCCCCTCCCTCCTCGCTCCCCCCTCCCGCATGAGCCCTTGATAGTTGGAATTTTGTTTTCTATAGCAGAGAAATAGCAAGTTGGAGAATAACAACGAGCAAATCTTTACTCAAGTGATTCTTTTTTCCTTTCTATTTTTTAATTATTTTTTTAATTCATGGTATCATTATCCCTAAAAGATGAAATGCTGTTTTTAGCATGAAAACTTCTTTTTAGATCATTTGGACACATGTACCAAATGTTCATTAGATTACCAATTTGTAATCTACTCACAGATTATATTCGATCTACCCACAGATGACTCACAGTGGGTGAAACATAAGAACAATTGTGAGGCTGGCGCAGGATAAACATTGTTTCATTCTGTTGTATGTAGGGTGCCACCGAACAGCTCCTCATAACCACAACAACCCGTAGATTGTATTAGGTCTACCCACAGGAAACAAAACAACATTTTTATCATGCCTGGCTTTTCTCTAGTACATTTGCTTCAAAGTCAAGCAGAAACACCTCTTTATTAGAAATTCATTTGGAGGTTTCTTTCCCATATAAAAATTGAAGTGTGTGTTAACTAGAGGGATAGCTTTTATTTTATCGATTAAAGAAAAGGCTAATGCGTTTTTGTTTCATTTGCAGAAAAGAAAGGAACCTGTCTTTCACTACTTTTGCGATACCTGTGATCGTGGTTTCAAGAATCAGGAAAAGTATGATACACACATGTCTGAACATACTAAAGTAGGTTTCTTTTTTCTTGGTTGTCCTGGAATGTCATTAACAAAATGACCTGACTGTATGCTTGTTAGACCTCCCAAGTTTTTCCCCAGGTTTGATGGCTGATAGGATTAGGGCAGTGGCTGTGCAGTTTGGCAAGGGCGGCAGGCAGATGTCAGCAAAGTAGGCAGGTCTGGCAGCTGTTTGTCCGGGTTTGCCTGGGCTGCCCTTTAAGCTTGCCGAGATTCCCCTCCAGTGCCCCTCAGCACCTTTGTGAGCGCCCCATTCAGGGTGCCCTTGACTGGGTTACCAGGTAGCCCTGTGATTTGCTGTAGTCCAAAGGTCCTGGGGTAGTGAAAGTGGGTCTGCACTTGACTTCTCTCGTAAAGGTAGGAGGTTCACAGGCACTCAGCAGCACCACAGGAGAAAGGCCTGCCAGATGTCTTTCTGTAAAGATTGCGGTCAGCCACGAAAGGGTCCGTGTAACCCATGGGGTTCTCATGAGTCAGAATCAGTTCAGTGGCAGGGAGTTGAATTTTACGTCATACTTTTACTTAAGTTGAGAAGGGAATGATTTCTATCTACAAAGCTTAGTGTTTTGCTAGTATCATTCCTTTTTAAATGCAATTTTGTTGTGGAGTGACCTTGGACTATTAATCTAAGTCTATCATGATAACACCAAGTGGATATGATAACTGCTTAAGTAGGGCCACAGTGTGTGTGTGTTGGGGGGGGGGGTAGTGGGGACTATTTAATGTAATAGAAAATAAGAAAGCATACATTTAATGAGGAATGCTGATTTTGTAAAAACTTTCACAGTGCCCTGAAGCAGATTGCTCTTTCACTGCACATGAGAAGATTGTCAGCTTCCACTGGAAAAATGTGAGTGCCTATGCTTGTATCTTTTTCACCTTTTCTTTTTTTGATACTTAGTCTTTGTAGTCCATTGGTCTGTTAACGTCGCATCTCTTTATTACATGGCCTAATAGTCACATTTGTGGAGTGCTCTGTACCTTTCAAAACATTTTTACATCTCATATTCAATTTTGCCCTTACAGATATTTCTGCAAGATAGATAGCTAGTCCCTCATTTAACAGATTTAAAAACAACAGCCGAAAATCCGGAGATCTGCCCTAGGCTTCAGAACTAAATCCTGAGCCTGTGTTTCTTGTCTCTGAGTTGTAGACTTATTTACTGACACTGTGCTGCTTCAGAGAAAATCTACATTGAGTTGCTTCCGACTCATAGCAACCTTACTACAGGGTTTCCAGAGATTGGTTCATATTTCCAGGAGCAGGTGGCCTCGTGTTTCTGCTCCAGAGCAGCTAGTGGGTTTGAACCGATGACCTTGCACTCAGCAGCCCAACACTTACCTAACAACTCAGCAGGGCTTCAAATGGTTATGTGTAATTGTTGCTGTAGCTACCACCCTAAGTGTTAGTCCTTAGATCATTCCTTTGAGTGCTTAACATCATTGGGAGAAAATAGATGACACACTTATTTTTTAACCAAAATTCTGTTAGTCCTTCCCCCTCTCCCCCAAGTATCTCTAGCCTAAATACTTGACAGCTGTTTAAAGTAAAAGGCATAATAAGAATGGAGCAACCCGGCTTACATGGTGATTTTAAAATGATGGCATGCACACACACAAATGACCTCTGCTCCTTAATTGGTTGTGGGGCATAAAGCCTTTGTCATCCCCATAGTAGTACTCAAAGTTCAATCACAGGTGTACCCTATGCTTCCTGGTGGCCAACAGGCTTTTTCCCCTTAGATGCATGCTCCTGGGATGAAGAAAATCAAGTTGGACACTCCTGAGGAGATTGCCAGATGGAGGGAGGAGAGAAGAAAGTGAGTGAAAATTCAGGAAAGTAACTCAAGGATACAGTTTTTTTATTATTGTAGTTTTGATTTGTGTAATTCCTTTATAATGTTGGTATTAGGTGCAGGGCTATAAGCTCTACTGCATGAGACTTACTATTGAATGTAGCTTTTGTTGGCTGGATAGGAACTCGCGTGTTATGGTTCATTTCAGTCAGAAATGTGCCTTAATGGCAGCGTTACTTGCTCTCCAGGGGAGCTGCAGCATGCTTACCTAGTAGATGTTCGGTGTCAGAGGCAATAATGGGTGTGTAGCCTTGTTAAAAGGGGAAAAAAACCAAGTATAATGCTTCTGATTTAAAAAAACAAACAAAATTGTGTTGAGTTGGCTGCGGGGTGGTGGGCAGAGGGGATACAGCCAACTATGGGTCCAGGGTCAGGAGTGGAAGGACTGGGGGCCTTAAAAGGTGTGACCTGGTGAAGAGGTTTACAGCATTGGTGAGAATTCTTTGCCTCATCTTTCGTGGCGCCCTTCACTAGGTGTCTGGGTTTTGTGTTGTTTTCATCTGTTGGTTCTAGCCTCTTCTCATTGATTTACACTGGAGATTAATCAACCCAGAGGTTAGCCCACTTGCTCTCTGCTACTGAGTTTTTAAGGAGCTTGTAGTATAAAGTTTGGGGGTAGGGGGCCAGTCCCCACCACTGCTACTACCCACAGGTTCAGTGCACAATTGTATGGTTGAGCTATATGAGTATTATATTAAAGTCATCGAGATCATGAGAGGTAGAGGAGAGAGATTACAATAATGCAGTCAGACACATTACATGGTAGCATTGCTCACCTCAGCCCCGCTTGGTGGTCCACGTGGAGAGAGGGGGAAGGGAAGAGGACAGGAAAGGGAACAAGGGAGAGAGGACAGGAGGAGAGGGGGAAGATAGGGGAGTGACCAGTGAGAGGCCAGAGAGAGAGCTCTCTATTGCTAACCCAGGCCTATATACCTTTTGGGAGGCATGCAAACCCACTAATTACAGGTAAAGACATATGTCACAGGAAGGGGTTGCACTATAGGTTACACAGTAATGAGGGGGTGGTCTAGGGACATACATGCAATAGGAAGAGGAGGGATAGGGGTATACATGTGACAAGATGGGCGGATCCTAGATTTAAGATGGCAGCTTAACTTTGACCTGTTCTCTGGGTCTCCATAGGAACCACTATCATTAGGTTGTAAACTCCGCCTACAGGAGTCTGTCCATTGTCCCCAGCAGCAGGGAGCATGGCCCACTGCAGTTTGGCAACTGATAGCCCTCAGGGAGGAATGCCTGCGCATCTGACCTCCCCCCACTGGAGCTGACAATGATGGTATTGAATTCAAAATAGGATCATGTTAGAGAAGGTAAAATGACCTACCTCCTGGCATTCCCCAATGTCTCAGCTCTGATTTTGATCAGTTGGAGGTTAGGGAAGTCCTTTGAACGTATGCTCAATTCTCTTGAGGGCAATGATCACGGTCACTGGTCAGCATTCATTCTGTTGAACCTGAGGCCCCTGTGAGGTGGAACAGACTCGATAGCTCCTAACAACAGCAAACCAGGACACAGTGGTGTCCCGCTCAGTGGTTCTGCTCTCTTTAGCCATCTCAGTCTCCCTTCGTCACCGTTGCTCCTCAGTCTCAGTGCAGGAGCAAGAGGGTCGCGGTTCCTTGACAAGGGGAGCTGAGCTGATGGCATGCAGACAAGCAGAAGGTATACCCTTGTCTCTGTTCCCCTCCTCCCTCCTCTTGATGCTAGGTGCCATCCAGTTGGTTCTGACTCAGTGGCCTTACGCTTGAACCCTGTTGGATCCTGTGCCATCCTCACAGTTATGTGTGAGCCCCTGGTTGCAGCCACAGTGCCGGGCCATCCTGTTCAGGCCCTCCTCTTTCTTTTTCTTTTTTTCAATCGTTTTATTCGGCGCCCATACACCTCTTATCGCCATACATACACCAATTGTGTAAAGCACATTCGTACATTCATTGCCCTCATCATTCTCAAAACAGTTCCTCTCCACTTAAGCCCCTGGCATCAGGTCCTCATTTTTCCCCTCCCTCCCTGCTCCCCCTCCCTCATGAGCCCTTGATAATTTATAAATTAATTATTTTGTCATATCTTGCCCTGTCCGACGTCTCCCTTCACCCACTTTTCTGTTGTCCATCCCCCAGGGAGGAGGTCACATATAGATCCTTGTAATCGGTCCCCTCTTTCCAACCCACTCTCCTACGCTCCCAGTATCGCCACTCACACCACTGGTCCTGAAGGGATCACCCGCCCTGGATTCCCTGTGTTTCCAGTTCCTATCTGTACCAGTGTACCTCCTCTGGTCTAGCCAGACTTGCAAGGTCGAATTTGGATCACAATAGCAGGGGCGGGGCCCTCCTCTTTTTCACTGCCCTTCTTTACCAAGCATGCCCACCTCCTGGTAACCCTAAACTTTTCTCTGGGTGAATTTACCAAGTCTCAAGTAGTTTCCCACATACTAAGGGGAACAATGCCACCTGGTGGTCTTTTGCAACAAGTGCTTAAAAAATATTCCGCTGCCTGGAGTCTTTTGGAACATAAACCTTTGAAGATCAGAACTAGCTTAGATAGCATATTCTTATAAAGAAGTCTCTTGAAGATGACTAGTTTAGTTATCTATTGTTAGTAAGGAATGTTAGCAGCCTTCAAGTTGATGTTCATGAGTAGACTACCGAAATCTAAGGAGACTCATGTATAAGAAAGAGCTTTATATCAAAGAGTAATTATAAAGAAAACATCCCAGCCCAATCCAAATCAAGTCCATAAGTTCGATACTAACCCATAAGTCTAGTATTAGCCCACGAATTCCTCTATGTGCAAACAAGAATAATGTACACTTTGGAAGAGGCATGTTCTTGCTTGAATTAATAGAGTGGGCGTAGCAGCACTCGAGAGGACAAGGAGCCCTGGGCAGTGCTTCTCTCTGCGTCCGACTCGATGGCGTCGTCCGACAGCAACATGGCTTTGGGAGGGATGTTGAAAGTTCCTTTCTTTTTGGGGAAGTGATCCCAGAAAGAGAAAGCTGTTTTAAAAGGCTGCCGTGGAAGGAGTTTCTAAAACACCCCTATTGGTTCTTGTAGGGCAGCCTCTTTGGGGGGATTGAATGACCCTTTCACTAAGGTCACCTGATTCATAGCAGTAGCAAAATGAGAGTATGAAGTAGCAGCGAAAAGAATGTTGTGGTTGGGGGTCACCACCACATGAGGAACTGGATGAAAGGGTCGATGCGTTAGGAAGGTTGACAACCACTAATGTGGGGTATTCTTTGACCTCACTCAAAATCCTTTCCTTTCTGGGAATGTTTCCGTGTTTCACCGTTGAGAAGCACCTGGGAAGCATCTGCTTCTCCCTGGTGCACCGTGACATTGACTGTCTTCAGCCTTCAGCAGGTGGCCCAGCATGGTAAGGGTCTGCGGTGCTCAAAACAGAACTGTTACTAGTAAGTAGGCAGACATGAGTTGGGATGTGGCGGGTAGAGGCAGAGTAGGCTGGAAGCTATATGCCTAGATGCTTTGAGGCCTTTTCTAACATGCCCATTTCTGCATATTCTGTCTTTAGATTGAAAAGAACTGCCTGCCCTCTCGCTCCTCTGAGACTTTGGGGCTGTCAGCACCTCCAGTTTCTTTACCCTTTCTTCAGAGGCTTCCATTTCCTTTCATCTTGGTGCTCGTGTTTAAATCTCTTCTGAGATCCTTCCCCGTTCTCCTTCTCCTCGACATGTAGAAGTACACTGTGGCCCGGGGTCTCGGGCCGTACTGGAGTGTCCAGGTCACAGAGGGTCCGTGTCACGTAACCGTCAGTGTTTGCTTTGCACAACTTGTAGGCCTTTGCTGCTGACTGTTAGCCTGACCTCCTATGACCTTGGTCTTTTCCTCTTTGGTTTATTTATAGCTTACACATTTGTCGTCATTTGTTTGTGGACATTGGTTTTCTTGGATAGATAGGTACAGATACATAGGGTCATCACAAGGTTTGTAGAAGAACAATAAAAAGATAATGGAGTTTTTCCATGACTACTTGAAGCCTCTTGTACCTGTATTGCATTGTACTGTCCGTCCCCAGAGCTCCTCTTTCGGTTTTTTTCCTGTTGTTTCCGACGTCGCTTCGGTGTGTTTCTTGTTGCCTGGTGTTTTCCCTCCCAGGGTTTGGTCCCCTCACCCCTGCACGTAGCGTGTCAAACAGAGCGGGCTTGTTAAGTCACCACCTATGTGTCTCTTGCTCTCTCCCAGTGGCTCTCCTTTGCCCGCCGCACTGAATGACACACTTTCTCGTCTGCTTGTCAAAGTATGTTTTCATGCAACCTATTAGCTTGCCAGTGTGGGTGTACACGACGACGAGCTCCTGGCAGCTCTCATTTTCGGGGGTCTTGGCGTTGTTTGCTCCCCTTAGAACACACTGAGCGTTTCCCCCTGGTTGCTGTTAGTACTGTGCATGCTTCTAAAATCATCTTTCATGTTTCCCATTTTCTGGATTTCTCCAGTAGACAAACGCTCATCCTAGCCTCACCTGGGTTTTTAATATGTTTTTAGGCAGTTACTGTATTTTGTCTTATGTTAAATTGCTTTGTTTGCTTTTCTTAAACCTCTCCTGGTTGGGTTGTACAGTCCTTCTTATCTCTATAACTTCTGAGTCCCCAGTGTGTGTATGTGAACGAGTAATGAGGCTTTACCTCTCTCTCCATGTATTTGTGGGCACACACGGGTCTGTACCACGATGGCTAAGTCAACTGTATTGTAATAGTTGGGACATTGCATCACATACTTTCTGCCAGTTTCCCCCATGGTAGAACAAAGTGAGATGAATTGGACAGTGTTATTATTTATCTGTGAATCATTTTTAGGGTTTACTTTTTCCCATTTTTCCTGCGCCATAAGAGAAGCTTGCGTGCTTTTTTTGAATTGAACTCATCTCCTTTTAGCATACGTTTCAAAAAGCTAAAAGTGATGCATGTGTGGCATTTCCTAGTCCAGTGCACCCTACCCACAGGCCCATTTGCAGTGAGACAATGAGCTTGTGCTCGAAGGTAAATACCGTACATTGCTGCTTTCATTGAGAAAGTTTTGCTACCTTAATAATAACAGCAACCTGACCTAAACCATTTGATGAATGATAAATTGGACTGAAATTGTAGCAAAAGCTCCTTAGGTAGTCTTCGTTTGTGGCTGGCATGTGGTCTACACTTCCAGTAACACTGTTAGAGTCTGTTCTTATAAAATGTAGAGGCAGTTAAGGTTTTACAATGCCTTCCTGTTTTTCTCTGTTGTTTACTGCCATCAAGTCAGGCCTGGGCCCTGAGGTGAGCTCCTGTACAATGGAATGAGGTGCTGTTCTGTCCCAGCCCAGGATTGCTGGTGCATCAAATTGTTGTGTTCAGTAGGATGATCACCCTATTGAAGTTGTGGTATATGTGTCCTGTTTTTCGGTCTGTGAAACCCAGGATTGATGAACCTATAGGGACAGCAAAGGCTCTGGAGGTGGGAGGGTGGTGGGTAAAAGGGAGATGATGTCAAGGAGTTCAGGAAGCAAAAGAATGTTTGGAAACTAGCTGGTAGCAATTGTACAGTTCTACTTGACGTGATTGAACTATGGAGTGATATATGTATTAACTCCAAATTAATAATAAAGTGCTTTTATAAAGGCCTTTTTAAAAATGTGTGTTTAATTTTCTAGAAACTACCCAACTCTGGCCAACATTGAAAGGAAGAAGGTGTTAAAACTCGAAAAGGAGAAGAGAGGGGCCGTGCTGACGACGACCCAGTATGGGTGAGTTTTCGACAGGGGCTGCCCTTCTCGTCACGTGGACTGGAATTGAGTGTGCCCGACACGCTCAGAGAGCGCGCCCGGAAACGTTCCAGTCTCCGTACTCCGCGCCAAGCTTCGTAAGGACGTGTGCAATATGAAGGAGCGTCACAAAGCGCGTGGGGAATTGTATTATTTTGTAATTCCATCTGTCCACGCGCTCTTGGAAGGCTCCTCGTGCTTGGTCTCTGGTCGTCCTGGCACGGTGTGTGCAGTTGTGTGCAGTAGTCTGGTTAGAGGGCTTTAATCTTACGCCCTTTCACAGCGGCTTGGCGTGGCTGGCTCTAACAGCTACGCAGGGGAGCATGGAAAAGCACTTCATCTCTGGTGTCCCTAGCTTTACATTGAGGCTGTCAGCTTTTGCGTTCTACCTGTGTAGTGAAACTATTAGGTGTTCACAGATGTAGAATTATTATGTTTCCTTGTTGCTTTAGCCTTTCCACCTTGTGAAATAGCTTGTCTTTAGTACAATACTGTTTGCATTAGCATTAATTTTGCATTAGTTTGCATTGACTAATGCAAAATTGTTATACAAAATTGTATCTGCTTGTTGTTTGCATGATATATTATTTTCTAGTCTTTTCCTTTTAATTGTCTTATGTTTGTATTTAAAGTATATCTTGTATAACCTAGATCTTTCTTAACTAGTGTTTAGTTCATTTTTATTTAATGTCATTAACATTGTAATTGGGTTTCCCGTCATCCAAAACTTCTTTGGGCTATTTGTTTCTTTTATTAGACATTTTATTGGGGGGCTTACAAATCTTATAACAATCCGTCATCCAATATCTTTGGGTTTTTCATTTGCCCTATTTGTTCTTTGTTTCCTTTCTTGCCCCCTTTCAGATTAAACATTTAAATATAACTATGTTTCTCTCTCTTAGCTTGTAATTATACTTTTTAAAAAATCATTTTATTGGGCTCGTATCACTCTTACCACAATCCATACATCCATCTATTGTGTCAAGCACATTTGTACATTTCTTGCCATCATCATTCTCAAAACATTTTATTGTTACTTGAGCCCTTGGTATCAGCTCCTCATTTTCCCCCTCCTTCCCTGTTCTTCTCCCTCCCGAACCCTTGATAATTTATAAATTATTTATTATTTTGTCATGTCTTAACTGTCCAACGTCTCCCTTCACCCACTTTTCTGTTGTCCTTGTATACTTGTTTATTAGTATCTCCAGGCTATATACATCTACATTTTTTCCTTGTCATACTTTTTTGTACTTATTTTAAAACATTGATTAAATAACCTTTCCCTTTCACTGATTGTCAAACAGGACTAACTACTCCCTCAAAGATGAGATGGAATGTAATACCAGATAACTCCTTCTCAATGAGGTTTTTCCAGGGTGCTTTGAAAAGTTCCTGTATCTTTTCATTTAATTTCTCCATGAATATTTTGATAGCCCCCTGTATTGATCTCATGAGTTAAGGATCAATTCATAACATGATAAATTAGAAAAGGCAATGTATCTTTGTGAAAACTGTGTTCCCCAACTCAGAAAACTCACTGCCATTGAGTCGGTGCTGACTCTTAGCGACTCCTCTGTGGTTCCAAAGCTGTAACTGTGTACATGAGCAGAAAGCCTAATCTTCCTTCTGAGATGCTGCTGGTCCTTTTGAACTGCCAACCATGTGGATCGCAGCTCAGCACATAACCACTGCACCACCAGGGCTCCATGTGTTTCACCAAAGGGCACCTTATATTAGCGAGAAAGCATATAATGAACTAAAAAAATAACTTTTTTGTAATTTTTTTTTCCTGTACCTGGTTTAGATTAAAAGAACCCTGGTGGTGTCATTGTTCTGCATTGGGCTGTGATCTGCAAGGTCAGCAGTTAGAAGCCGCCAGCGGCTCCTTGGGGAAAGACCAGGCTTTCTACTCGTAAATTGTTGCAGTCTTGGAAACTCACAGGGGCAGTTCTATGACAACCCTGCCCCATAGGGTTGCTATGACTCAGTATTGACTGGCAGTGAGTTTGGTTTAGATGAGAAGCTCCTTCTATAATGTTTTATTTCTAAGAAAAATTAGAGGACAAGTGATCTGAGACGTATCTTCCTATAAGATGAAGAGAATGTTACCTGTTATGTCTACTTCAAAGGGATTTAAACTTAAATACAAACACGGCAGACTATTTGTAAATGTCTCACACTCTTTAAGCCTCCTAAAAAGGCAAGAGTTGATGTACTTTATAAAGTCTGAAGAAACACCTGGTTTGATGTACAAGCTGAGGGCTTAGTGGTTACATATTGGGTTGCGATCTGCAAGGTCAGCAGTTCAAAACCACCAGCTGCTCTTCAGGAGAAAGGGTTTCTGCTCATATAGTTATAATCTCGGAAACTCACAGGTGTAGTTCTATCCTGTCCTGTGAGGTTGAATCGACTCAGTGGCAGTGAGCATAAGGAATGAAAGTATGCCGCCAGCCATGGATTATACCGCAAAGCCCAATTCCAGAGCGTTGCCTCTGGGAGGAAGTGTGTAGTATGCTATCCTTTCATTTCGGTGTTCTACCAGGAGGTTTTCTTGCAAGGTCGGTGTCTTTCATATTTTTCTTATTCCAGAAAGATGAAGGGGATGTCCAAACATTCACAGGTGGCTGGGATCAGAAGTCCCGGCAAACATCACAGATGGAAAGCCAATCGGGATGGACATAGAGCAGTCATTGAATCAGGCAGTCCCTCTTGTGAGTCCAAACCGGACGGTCCATCGGAGACAAATGCAGATCCCCTGGGTGCTTTGGCGAACAATGATTCTGGTAAGCTAACCAGTTGATTACACACCATCTTATTCGCAGACATTTTAATAGCCATTAAAGGTGGTTTCCCGCTTACAAAGAGCCCCATTCCAACCACTTTGTGTCCCTCTGAGTCAATGCTGACAGAAATGGAATGCCTCCGCCCCTTTAAAAGGTAGTTCTTTCTTACTGCCTTTTACTAGCAGTGTCTTTATAAATTCAGTCTTCATTTGTCTTTGTATAAGCTTAAAGATACATACATATATATATAGGGGGGAGACTTAAAAATTCATGGAAAACATTTCACATTCTTTTGATTCATTTTTCCACAAACTTTGAAGCTCCCTTGTATGTAAAAGAAGACACAAATCAAAAGTTTACTCTGATGAAGAGTTGGGTGATGTTGACGTTTGTCAATTGAAATAATAATTCCACTTATGGGAGGATCTAAATCATTTGAATTGTCCAAACAGTTTATATTGGCACGTAATCCGTACCAGACAATTCAATAATTTAATCACATCAAGAAGAATTGTACATTCTTCATAGGTTTTGTGCTATTTTCCATGAATCTGCCTATTAGCTATAGCAAAGCGATCAGCCTTTGTATCCCTGTTTTCAAGGAGCCAGTGCCCTGGTTTCGTTTAGGAAACTCAATCTATGTGGCAATGTTTTGAGCAATAAGTCATAATACTGCACATCTGCAAGTGAACATCTGAGACAGCATCAGAAGTCACATGCTGCAACATCCTATAGCGCATGTTGATGAGCTAGAAATTAAAAAACAGGCCACTCTCAGTATCTTTCCTCATAACTCAAATATATCGTGAATCAGGAGCTGCTTGTATATAAAAAAGTAGAATGATGTTTTGATTTTAATACTGATATCTTAAGAGCCTTAATGTTGGCACATTTTTTTTTTAGTTTTGGGTGGGTATATGGGAGCAGGCAGGGTATAGGAAGAATAATTAATTATTAGATGCTTTTATAGTATCGTACAGTCTTGGAAAATCCCTTATGATTGTTTTAAATGTAGGGATACACGTAGTTTTAAATTTACTCAAGAAAAATATTTGTCATTCCAGTAGCAGGCAATGTTGTGTATGCTATTGAACACAACCATGATCTTTTTGAGTAAATACTCTTAATTCATTGCCTCTGAATAAGTAATACTGTTCCTCCTCAGTGTATAGAGTGTATTTACATGAAGGAGCTTCAAAAGAGTTGGTGCAAAATTCTTTTAATGTTTTGCACAATCTTTTGAAACCCCCTTTATCTTTTTAGGGAGCCCAGATGGTGTAGCAGTTTCATGTTGGGTTGCGATCCTCATAGTTGGCAGTTCAAAACCACCAGCAGCTCCAAGGGAGAAAGACTGAGCTTTCTACTCCCATAAACAGTCTCAGAAACCCACAGGGGGGTCACTTGGAGTCAGCATTTACTTGATGGCAGTGAGTATATGTTTATGTCTCATCCTTAAGTAAAATGGATTGTAGACCTTATAATCCCATTGCTGCCAAATCGACTCCAACTCAGTGACTATAGGGGTCTGGAGGCTGTAAATCTGATAACGGGAACAGAAAGCCTTCTCTTTCTCCTGAGGAGTGGCCAGTAAGTTTGAACTGCTGGCCTTGTCATTAGTTTAAGGTGACCAGATTTTAACATTGGTAAAGCAAAACATCATTGATAAAACTCATACTGCGAAATAGCTATATGGCAGCCAAAAACCCGTATACCCTAGCTTGTCGTACATTCTTTCCAAAAATCGGGACTTTTTAAAAATGCTGCGGGACACAGGAAAAAATTGTTTAAAATAGGGACTGTCCCGCCAAAAGCGGGACGTCTGGTCACCTTACATTAGTTAATTACTTAACCTACAGTGCCACTGGGGCTAGAACTTAAATGGCATGTTTACTCCTGTTTATAAATTTAAAAATGGAAGACCCAAATGCTATCACATGGATATCATTCAGCTCCATGCTCTTATTTCTTCTCCTGAAAAGTTAAAACACTTTTTGAGCATTAAACTCACTTTAAGAATGAAAATCTCCCAATTCCTTCTGCTTTTTGCTTGTTTTGTTTTTTTTCTGGCTCTGAAGTCGATTCTAGCTCAGAATAGATTATAGCCCAGACATTAGCCATTCACCTTTAGACAAGACAGCTGTTGAGGAAAATCTTTATCGCTTTGGATCCTACTTAGAAGATCATTGTTTGATCACATGCCTATTGCACTCTTAGACATTCTAGAGAGGATTTGGGCGGAGACTTGAGAAGCCTCTATTTTGGACTCTTCCGATCTGAATAGGATTGATTTCTGCACTGACCCTCTCTTACTTTCTTGTACATCTAGTGTGCTAACTGGTTATGTACTCAAGTTTCCCTACCCTCCCCCCAATCTTTTATGTTTGGATACCTCATTAGCGGGGACCCACTCGATTTTGTTGCTGCTGTTTAATATGCGAGTATTTGCTGGTTTCCTGTGTTGTGGTCTTCGACCCCAGTTTGAGCTAAAAAGAAAGCACTTTCCAGCTGCTTCCTCGCTGGCATTCTATGATGCTCCGGCTGGTCAGTGGTGTGGCACTGACCGTGTGTGACCCAAGTGTCTCGGGAGCTGTGTTATTTCCCACTCACAGTGACTGTCGGGCAGGGTAGAACTGCCCCTTTGGTTTTCTGAGACGGTAACTCTTAAAGGAAGTAGAAAGCCTCTTTCTCCCACAAAGTAGCTGGTGGTTTCAAACTGCTGACCTTGTGGTTAACGCCCACTAAGTAACCCATTCTCCCACCAGGGCTCCAGTCACAATATTAGTATACAATATTAGACATGTGGTGTGATATTGTATAGCTGTTGCCGTAGTGGTTATGAGTTGGGCTACGATTTCCATGGTCAGCAGTTCAGCAAGAGACAGACTGGGCTTTCTACTCCTGCAAACGATTGCAGTCTCGGAAGCCCACCTGGGATGCTCGCCATGAGTCAGCAGGAACGTGACGACAGTGAGTGGGTTTTGTTTTGGGTTGCCGTAGAACACGGGACGTCACTCTTAGCGCGCACTGGCACAAGCTGGGTGAGTTTCTGGTTTTTAAAAAGCAGCTGTTGAAAGTAAACCTAAATTGTCTTAACACATCAGCTATCCTGAATATCTGTCTTTTAAGAGTTGAAAACTAAAAATTCCTGTTTGCTGGGCGACGTTTTCACTGTGTCGTGTTTTCTTTAGGAGGCTTATTGGATAAATCCTCTTGGAGCTTGTGCTCCATAAAAGCAGTGAAAAGGGTGCTGTGGGCCAGGGTGGAGGGAGCTGGGGTGCGAGGGCAGGATGTGGGAGCCCCCCTTTGCAGGGGCGAACAACCCTTTCACAGGGGTCGCCTGATTCATAACAGTAGCAAAATGACAGTTATGAAGTAGCAACAAAAATAATTTTATAGTTGGGGGGGTCACTACAACATGAGGAACTGTATGAAAGGGTCGTGGCATTAGGAAGGTTGAAAACCACTGGTTTGCGGTCTTAATGGGAGCAGATAGTCTCATCTTTCGCCCATGGAGCAGCTGGTGGTTTTGAACCATGGACCTTGCAGTTAGCAGCCCAACCTGTACCCAACAGCACTAGCAGGACTCATTTTAAGTTTGTTTTCATCATCTTCTTTGTTGCTATTTTTTATGTTGGCATTTTTAGTATTGAGAGGAGCTTTAGCTGCTTTTTCAAAAAGTGACTGAAGTTTCTGGAGTGGTATTTTGTCAGCCAGCTGCAGTGCCTTTGGCACACACGCTCTTTCCAGGATAGCTGCTAAATGCTGCCTTCCAGCTGCTCGGGATGCCCAGGCCCTGAGCATACTCTGCTTTTCAGATGGCACATCTCCGCAGAGGGTGTTCGGACAGTGTCCGGAAAAGCCGTCGATTGGCCACTTGGCCACCCTCCTTCCTGTTCTTCTTCCCTTTGGGGGGCCCGGTGAGTGTGGAGGTTTTTAAGATGATCGCTGTTCAAACTGCTGGCCTAGCCGAGCGCTTAGCCACCGTGCCTCCAGGGTTAGCTGCCTGCAGACACCCTTGTGTGCCCGCACATAGATCTTTTGGCCGGTTTGCTGCTGCAGTCCGAGGTCGGCCGGAGCAGTCAGCAGCAGTGCCTTTTCCTTCCGCCCATGTCAGTGGCGCTGTTTCCCTTCCTCCAGCCGTGTGCACTTCGCCTCCTTTACCTTTCTTGTCCTGAAGTTTGACGGGCGGTCCTGTTGTGTAGAGAGTCACTATGGGTCACTGATCAAACAGAACCGAAGAAGCCGCCGCACACTCGAGGGTGCCTTCCAGCGCAATCCCTGGAGGGCCTGCCACTGATGCGCATGACCAGCCCGGCCCCACCTCCGCGAGGGCAGTTCCAGGACTGCAGATCTGTGTGGCGGCAGACAGCCTCGTCTTTCTTCCGCGGAGCAGCTGCAGGGCCCACAGCACTGGCCTTTGGAACCCTTAATCTGCTGAGCCCTTCGTGAACATTCGTTTCTGCCCATTTGCTTTTGCCTGAGGAGTAATACGATTCTGGGTCTATTTTCAGAATAGAGCTGACAGCCTCTGTTGGCAGATTGCATGTGTGAGAGGGAGAATTAAGGGTGAGTGTTAGTGTCTGGCTGAACCGTCAGGCAGAGTTGACATTTGTTAAGACAGACAACAATGGGGACTGTTTGGAGTAGCCCTCAAGTGCGGTGGTTTTTGGACATGACAGGCTGTGGTGCCTGTTTGGTCTCTGAGTGAAGATGCAGAACAGGCCGCTTGGTGGCTTACCCTGGAGTTAGTCAGGGAACTGGAAAGTAGAAGATACAAATGTGTGACTCATCGGTGTGCAGATAGTGTTTTCAGATTGGAGAGGACACGAGGTCGTTTGGGGAGGGAGCGAATGGTCCCTGGGCACACGAGCACACTGGGAAGACTCCTCCGGAGAGCTGCATGAAGGGGTTTGGGAAGCCAAGTCAAAAATGTCTCCATGTCAGTTCTATATTCCAGTTTGCATCTCCTGCCAGCTACAGCGCCACTCTGCCACTGAGTGCCAGCTACAGCGCCACTCTGCCACCGAGTCAATGTGGCCGCCAAAGTGTCCGGAAGTAGAAAGCCTCCTCTTTCTCCTGAGGGTCGGCTGGAAGTTGCCAAGTGCTGACCTTGCAGTTAGCTGCCAATGTGTAGAAGGGTGTTAGAAGAAGACCAGGATTTAAACTTGACCCCAACTGTTTTGTAATTCTGTTCCGCCCTGTGGGGTCACTAGGAGTTGAAATCCGCATGATGGCCATGAAGGTGATCTCACTTCACTTAGCAGCAATCCTGTGCTTCTTTTGGAGAACTCTGTGAACTTGCAGGGAAGGTGTCGCTGGCGCGGCGTCTGAAAGACTCTTGGGAGTCATGCTGGAATGGGCCAGGCAGTAGAGATAGCTGTGACCAGTGCCGCTCTGCAAGGAGCAGTTCCTCGGATTTCTGAAGATTGGCTTCATTCCTGTGATGTATAGTGAAAGCGATACTTCATGAAGCTTAAATGAGATTTTGTTTTTCAAGAGCGTGATACGCAGGCACTTTTTGGTCCCCTCTCTTTGGAACTTAGAAAGACTGCAACAACTTGGCCTCTGATCTTTTGAGCAGTGGGACAATCTACTTAGCATTAGCATTATGGTAGATTTCTGTTTATTCGCCCGTGACCTATGTGTAAGCATAAAAGAGGCGTGCTTTTTCTTCTCTTTGTTAGGTAGGAGAAAGGTAAGCATTTGCTTTTGTGGGACAGGAGTTTGGGAGGTGCGATGCTGAGTAGCATGGCAGTGGGTGAAGGAGAGGGGGCTGCCTGTACCCACCAGAAAAGGCAGCATCAGCACACAGGTAATAACAGTGCTCCTCCCTTCCCTGGACGCTCTGCTCTCCCCTAGACTGAGGTGGTGAGCAGAGACCGCTTAATGGATGTAGGTTGAGCTGGTTCATTCGATAGCCTGATTGTCCATATTCTTCAGTCAGGCTTTCTTTTTATTGGTTGTCTAGAATGGATTTAGTACAGTTTTAGAGCTGCCAAAAATAGATGTAATAGGTAGTGTCCTGGGGCTATAGCTAAGCCACCTCGGCTGGATCAGACACGCCACCTTTGGCAGGCCCTTAAGACCGCTTGCTAAGTTCTCACGCTTGACTTGTTTACTGCAGTTCTTAGAAGTTCCGAATAATAAAAAGGCTGGGCACTCATTTTCATATCACTCTTTGCCGAAGCTGAAATCTGTAGGATGGTTTAATTACTGTGTCCTTAAAACCATTCTTGAAAACAACAAAATGGGTAGATATTTTTATGTTCTCTTAATCACCACGTCTCATGTTCAGAGTCAGCGAAATGAATTTCTGGCCTGCCTACTAACTGTAAATTAATAGCAAAGGCTGTGTGTTGAGTTTTTAAAAGGCCCAAATTCTCTCACCTGTGAAGCGTGGTGAAGTGCTGAGCTATGTATAACTTGCTCACACTCCTCTTGGGCAAATAGCTTCTCTGATCCATGACTATTTAGATCATAGGCCCTCAAACTTATTTGACCTACCTCCCCCTTTTCATGGGGAAAAAAAAGTAAAAAATTACTCTGCACCCCCTGCCAGTTAAAAGCATTTGTACCATATAGCCCATAATCCAGGATAAAGTGGAGATATCTATTTTGCAGCGTGCGCACCCCCCCACCCCACCCCACCCCCCCGCCCTCGGGATCATTCCAGTGCCCTGGGTTGGTAATATTCTATTCTGGGGAACACTGATAGATTTATATCGTTTTCGTGATAAAAAATTCACATAGCATACACTTCCGTAGTTAATCGCTTTTTTTTGTTGTTGTTGTTAATCGCTTTTTTTAAAGAGTTGCATATACACCATCACAGTCAGTTCTAGTGCTCCCTCCCGGCTCCCGCATTCATTGTTTACTCCCCAGTTCCTCCCCCCACCCACTGCCTCCCCGAAACCATCACGTCAGTTGTTGTCTGTGTGCGTCCACGCCTGTGCTTCTTGAACTAGGAAACATAACAGAAGCAATAAAAAACAAAACAGGAGAAAATAATAATAATAAAAAGATAAAAATAAGGAGTAAGAAAGAAAAGACCACCAACAATATTAAAAAGCCAGAGAATTGCTGATATGGAATAAGCAGAAGTAGTTAAGCCTAGAGCAAATTCAGGTTGGACCAAGAGGGAGGTCAACTGACCAAGTATACCATAGTTTGATCCACAGTAATTAGCTCTGTCTGAGAGCAAAGTTGTTCCGATTGTTCGGTTGGTGATCTCTTCATGGAGGTGAGTATTGAGCAGGGCCATGTTATAAGTACTAGCTGTTCTTGGATTGCAGCTAGAATTAAGTGGGAGCCCAGAATCCATCGGTGTGTACACAGGTTATGAATGACTCTGATTTGCTTTAGAAGTTATATTTTCATTTTATGACACAAAAACTAACAACAAAAAGCAACCAAACAAAAAAGAAAAACGTTGTCGATCATCCCCCTGGGGTATACAGCAATTGTATTGATAACATCAATGATTTATCTAATGGCATAGTATATAAGGTGCTGTTTAAATAAGTTTATATGAGTGTAGTCCAGCTGCGAAGTGCAGTGTATGAGTTGTTGCTTTGTGCAGATGGAATTCTTAAATGGTTGAGCTCTATTTACATTGAGCATGGGGGTTGTTGCTAAGGGAAATTTTCCTGTAACATTCCTGACAAGCACAGATCTTTGCCTGTTAGATTAATGCCTGTTATTGTAATGCAAATGAAGCATTGAGATTTATAAATTTATAAATATATGATTGCTCTTTGATTGGATATCCACCAAGCCAGGGTCCCACCCAAGCCCTAACATCTGCCATTTCCACAGTCTTGGAGTGGCCATCATTTACATTCTCTGTAAAGTCCTAAGGCCAAAGGCCATTCATTCAGCTTCCACGTCAAGTCTTTGTGGTGTGGCCCTTGGGGGATGCCATGTTCCCTGCAAGGCCAGAGTCTCAGGTCATCACAGTACTTGGTCCATAGCATGGCTCACTGAGGGTTAGGTAGAAGCTTATTCAATGTGTCTACCCAGGAACATAGAATGAGTTTATTCTCCCTTTAGGTTCCCTACAATAATTGTTCAGCATCCCTTCCAATGTGAGGTGGCTCCTCCCCATTTCCCCACCTTACCCACCAACAGAAATACCAGTGCCTCCTCCGAAATGTAGATGCTCCCTCTCCTGGTCTTCACTTGATTTCCCAGGGGGGTGCCCCTCTCATTCCTATGGAGGGCCTGTTGCTTTGTCGCAGCCTTGCCCAGTGTTGTTTGGATCAAGAGGGTGGTCTTCGCCCTTTATCTCCCCTTCTTGGGGGTGTGGCCCCAGCCCACGTGAAGTCTCCTCTCTCAGGGTGGTTCTTACCAAGTGCATAAGGGGTGTGATGTTTGATTCATGGCCAGTAGGCAGGCTTTTTCCCTCTTTGTTTGGAAATGGCCTGTAAGATTTCATTGGTAGGAAACACTGATTTAGATGAAGGGAAAAATTTTTTTTGTAGGTCTGGAATTTGATTTTTGGAAAAGTGGGAAAATGGGCAGAACTTTGTTTTTAATAAGTAAGATGTGGAGGGGCTTCCTGCTTTCTTTTATGATGGAAATCGTTTTGATTCTCCTGTTGGAAATCGTTTTGATTCTCCTGTTCTCATCTTGGATGCATTTCCATTCTGTTTCAGAGTCGGATAAGGAAGACAAGCCACCCAGAACTGTCGTACCCAAGGAAGTGACCCCAGCCCTGTGCTCCCTCATGAACAGCTATGGTAGCCTTTCAGAGTCAGAGAGTGAGCCAGAAGGTACGTCATGGTGTAGGTGGTTAATATTGGTAATTGTTCTACTGCTTTTTTTTACCATCTTTGTTGGCCTACCGTGCATCAGTAGCTTATAGGGTACCCATTTTTAAAAGAATTTCATCTTCAAAGTCCTTTTTCATTTGATACAGAAATGAAGTTCACATGAGATAAAGGACAGCTGGAGGAATGGGGGAGATTTGGTGAAACAAATGCAACGTGTTTGCGGGAATAGGAAGGGAGAAAGTGCCCACGGAGAGAATGGCGGGAAGACAGCACTACCCGGTAGAGCCACAGTGATGGGCTTCTCTGTCAAGGTCCTTTATGAGAGTTTCTCCTTCTGGAATGTGCTGCCATAAAGGGTCTTATTCGGAGAACGTACAACCCTACACTTGAAGTTGCGTTGGCCTATATATTTGTAAACATTAAACGAACTGGAATCGTTTCACGAGTCCTTCTGAGAAGTAGCAGTGCGCAGGATACACATCTTCTCCGTCAGGATTCTGCACAGGAGGGAATGTGTGCAGCTTTCTCTAAAACGTGTTGCTATAATAAACCAGCCAGCTCTTCACCGTACTTCCTGTGAAGTATGGCAGTGTTTCATCCAAGGTTGTTAGGGGCTACGTTGCATTAGAATGCGTTGTTAATAGTCCAGCGTGTGCTTAGTGAGTAAGTCTTTATCTTACTAGTGTGGCAGTCTGGCTCTGCATGGGAATTGTATTTATGCTTGACCAATCATGAGAACCCACATGCTTGTTTCTCAGTACCTGCAAAAATAGAAATATGGAAGTTTTAAAGTGTATGTATAAAATGATGGGATGTTCTGAATTGAATTGGTTAAAGATGGAAGCCCTTTTAATGTTGACTAGAGATAATCAACAGGTGGGGGGTGTTGAATAAGGAAGCAGTGAGCTTTTATAGGAAAAATCATGTTTAAAGCTGTCTGTAATGTGAAGTGTGTTTTAAATTGGGCCTTGGCTTCCTATCATAGCTTGTTAAAAGCTACTTGCATTTTGAAATATAAACTACCGTGGCCTCGCAAAGTATTCTTTACCACATGGTGCGGCTCCTATCTAACATGTCATTTTAAGAGCAGGCCTTCTTTCACTCTTGCTTCTAATACACTGATAGGAGGTGGAGTGACCCCTTGAACACGTATTAATCTTCCTGCTCATCCGTCAGAACAGGTGATGGATGGTAAAGGGAACTACTGCCAGATTCCCGAAGCCGACCAAACACCTGGCACTAAACGTTCCTCTCAAGATGAAATCTGTAATACCTTTGATACTTAAACTTCTTCGTCTTACGTTTCTTGCCACTTTTAAATATGAAGAAAGGATGGAAACTGGAAGGGGTCTTTAAGGTTCAGAGCCTGGTGGTGTAGTGGTTGCACATTGAGCAGTTGGAAATCCTGCTCGGGAGAACGATGAGGCTTTCTACTCCCGCGACGAGTTATCGCCTCGGAAACTCACAGGGCATTTCTACCCCTCTTGTAGGGTCACTTTGAGTCAACACTGACTGGATGGCAGAATTTGTTCTTGCGGGGGTGTGGGGGCCATGGAGAGGGGGGTGTTAGCTTAAAGAGGGTGTGTTTGCAAAGTTAGTATGCTGCGGAGCTCAGGGCAAACCTTGGTTCCGGAACTGAAAAGTCTAGAGAACCCTTCTATTGTAGTCTTTCTCAGTGTGGCATTGGCCTCTTGCACAGCAATGCACAGCGCGATCTATTTCTATAGATAGCAGAATGTTAGCTATAAAAAGATGTCTTATTTCATCTGAGTATATTTTGTCTTACTGTTAACATCCCTTGCCTTATGGGGGATGCCCTTGCTTCACATTGATGAGTCTTAAGAATTGCAAATTTCTAGCTTTCAGTGCTAATTTTGGGCTGTAGGACAGTATATTGACACCAGGAAACTTGGAATAAATAAGCCGAGGAACAAAGTGGACTTTCTCTGATCCATAAAATAGTATCTGGGAGACTACATACGTCAGTTAACGATGAATGGAAATCGGTGTAGCAGATTTTAACTAGGAATCTTCATAGTTATGAACTGTCTCAGCGTGAAAATATATAGGCAGAATTAAAAACAAACAAACCCCCCAGCCAGGAGTCAATCCTGACCCTTAGCAACCCTGTAGGACAGAGTGGGACTGTTCCTTAGGGCTTCCGAAACTGCTCTGTAGGCCAGCAGAGCAGCTGCTGGCTTCAGCTGCCGGCCTGTGGTTAGACGCCTGGTGCTAGTCCACTGCACCCCCAGCGGACCAAGTTTCACTCGCTGCCATCAAGTCCATCCCAACTCACTGCGACCCTGCCGGACAGACTGGACTGTCCACAGGACGACAGCAGGCAGCTGCCAGCCCTTCTGCTAGCAGCCACGGTGCCCGGCGCCTAGTTTCGTAGCTGTCTGCCGGGGTCAGTTTGGGTGGCTTGTGTCTGTCAAACAACTTTATCATGTAAGTTGTCGACATGTAGTGGCTTAAGGTTCACAGCATTTTTTTTAGATCCCTGTGATTGTGTTCCTGATTCAGTTCCTAGTATCATTTATTACTTTTTTCCTTCCCCAGCCTTGCTAGATGCTTATTAGTTTTGTAACTGTCTTCAAGGGATCAACTTCTTATTTTTCCCTATTACGCATGTTTCTAATTTATAAATTTCTACTTTTTACTCTTTCCTGATTTATTATTTAACCCTCTCTGCCTTTTAATTATGGTGTTTAGACTAAATTTAACATAATTATTGATATGATTGTTTACTTTGACTATTTTAGTACTTTTATTTTCGCTTATCACATTTTTCTTCTTTTTCTGCTTCATTTGCTTCTTTTCTTAAAAAATAAGAAATAAAAAAATAAATAAATAAATAAATAAGAAGAAATACTGGTTTATTGGCTGTACCATATATGCTTTAGGAGTTGCCCTAGGGTTTTAGTTTATATTTTTAATTTGTCACAGCCTATTTTCACATATTTTACCACATGAGAACTTTACAGAAGTATTTATATTTTCTTTCTCTTTTTTTGTACTGCTGTTATCAGAGGCTTTATTTCTACTAATATTATAAATCTTAAATAGACAATTATTATTTTTTTCCTTATACAGTTAAGAAAAAATGGTTTTTAGCATTCATTCACATACTACTTCTAGCACTCTTTATTCCTTGATGTAAATCCAGGTTTTGATCTGGAATTATTTCCTTCCTAGTAGCTCTTGGTAGCTCTTTGTGGTGGTCTCGTTCATTGGGGCAGGTATGGCTTCCAGTTTGAAGATCACTGGGATCCATGTAAATGCTTTGTAAAATCTCACAAAGCTTTAAATGGTAACGTACCCAGTAAATGCCCGGGGCATGAATGAGGTGGAGTTGGTCACGGTGGTGGTGTTTTTAAGAGTTTTACTGCTTTTGGTACTTCTGTTTCATCACACTTAGAAACTCCCATAAAGAAGGAAGCGGAAGTGCTGGCAGAAAACCAGGCTCTTCATAGCAGTCCTCAGGAGAGTCCAAGTCAGCGTGTCAAAGTGGCTGCTACAGACGTCTCAGAAGCCAGCCAGAAGAGCCCAATGAAACATTTTAAAAAGACAAATCCCAAGCAGAAAAAACAACCCAATTTTCACACATTGTTTCAACCAAGAACACACCATCCAAATCTCCTGGAAATGGTAAATAATTTTTCTTGACATTCTTACGTTTGTATTCCTACATCATAAACCTAGAACAGTAACTTTTCCCAAATGTGTATGGATGCACATTTTCAGGTTCCTCGAAAATTCACTTATGTATATTTGTTCTGAGGTTTTATTTGACATATGTCTGATGTTCCATAAATGTGTAATAATTATACCTTTGTTTAAAGCAGCTTAATATGAAAGAGTCTAGATTTGACTGGCAAGGAAATAATAGATTTAGATTTTTAAAGTTCTTTTGAAAATACAGTTAAACAAAGTGGCAAACTAAACAAGAAGAAAGGTTTGTAGTATAACATCTGTTCACAAATACATAGTTATGGAAGTAAAAGGTGTGGTTTTTATTATTATCACTGTCATTACTTTTCTTTGGGAACACTTCATTCTTTATTTTTTATGCCTTTGCACCCTTCATCTCTTTGATTAAGGATTTAATCAGAATATTTATACGTATCTTATGTGTGCATGATTGGTTTTATTCTCAGCATGATGTGCTGAAATAAGTGTCTTTCTTCACAGTTACATGCAGTGCATTGTTTTGATTGCTAAGTAATGGCCGTGAAGCTGTTCAAGGGTTTTCACATTGGGCGATTGGAATGTTCAAAACTTGTCACTGAGTCACAGTCGCATCGACACTCTGTGACTTGTCTGTTTGCTCGTCAGACAAGTGCGTATGCGGATGTGTCCTCGGGCTCCTCTCGATTATGGTGACGGGTCATGTGGACATGGTCGTGGCTTTGGCTCCTGGAGCCATAGTGTAGTGTACACACTGGTGTGTTGTACCCTGTGTTCATCCGACTTCAGAATTAAATCATCCTTTTATAAAGCTCTCTGAGCTGTGTGTTCAGACTACATTAGTGACAGTGGAAAAGAAATTGAGGAGTCGCTTTATCCTTTGGGGCAGATCTGTGATTCCCTGGTCACATGCGTATTCCTTACTGCAGGGATTTTTAACTTTCTTTAAGGTACAGTAAGCCCCCAAAAGGCATAAAAATAAGATTGTTGATGTCTTCTAATTTTTTTCTTTTACTATTAATTTCATCATTACTATATGTAATGTATCTATCTAGCTTGCCAATTTCTGCACTGATTATAGCTTTAGGTCTAAAGGTCCACTTAAATGTGATTTTTAGCATAAAGAATTGCAGACTGTGAAACCATTTTGTCTTGCTATTTGTTAAATGTCCCTTGAATAGCCCCAAATGTGAACATCTGTGCTGTTTTAAAAACTAGATAATCTTTGTTAAGTTAAAAGGAAATGTTGCTTTTTTTCTTTTAATAGCAAAATAACGAGAAAATATAATACATAGGAACCTTAGAAAGTTCACGGAGAAATGGAATATTTTCAGGAACTTTTTTATGCCTGCTCATTTACGTCTCTTCTTTCCCCATGTTCTTTATATAAGGAAAGCACACTCGATGTTTTAGGTTGTGCTTCTTGGAGATGTTTTATTTACCAGCTGATGTGTCTGTTGTTGTCATTTCAGCTTTTGGCTCCGGACATCAGACATGAAAGGAATGTGATTTTGCAGTGTGTTCGGTACATCATCAAAAAAGACTTTTTTGGACTTCATGCTCCTGTGGAAACTGAGGGCATATCCACGACTGATGTTTCCGCCCGCGTACCTGAAATGTGTAAATAGTACCCTCCTGGAGATGGCGGAGAATAGCCCCCCACCTTTTCTCCCCCGTCATTTCTTTTAATACATGCTAATAAATGTAGCACTAATTCTTAAGGATTTGTCTTTATTGTTGGGTATACATTATATGTAGGGGCATAAGTTTCAACCTTGTTTGTATTTATTTAACTATAGCAAGAAAGGAAATTTAAAAAACGAAAGAGATCAAAGTAATACGATTAAAAGATATTGCAATTCAGATTTTCCCTATTTATTTCAAAGGATATGTGTAAATTCATTTACAAGCACCATGTAAACTAGCTCAGGTATTGAACATTTACAATATTGATACAGGTATATATTCTGTTTTTGTTTAAATTCGAACTAGAAACTGGTTTTGGAAATAATGTTCGGGTTTACGGTATTTTTATTCAGAAACACCTTCCACGTTTGTTTGCCAACTGCTCCCGCCAACTGGGAGTTATTCTCTAAGCCCTGCCGTGAGCATTTTTTTTGTTACATACTACTGAAAAAAACCACCATAATAGCCCATTTATCAAAGTGTGGAAGTAAAGTGGGCAATTTTGGAATTACTGTCAAACACATGAAGAAGGAGCGGGTTATTTGGGTACAGATGCAATACAAAATACATCCCATGGAGGTGTGTGCATTCAATATGAAAGTAAAGGCCTTCTTTATTCCTGCTTCTCGCATTTGCTCAGCATACGGTATAAATGTGATGAAAGGATACAATCCTGATGCTCACCTTTCCTGTGTTTAAGCCACTCAGAATTCCCTGTGCTAGTTGATTGACTGCCTCTGGGTCCTTGTACAGGTTCCTCATGAGCACAATTAAGTGCCTGGAATTCCCGTCCTGAACATTATTCATAATTTGTCAGTGTGTTAAATCCAGGGAGACTCGTGTATAAGAAACAGCTTTAGAAAGCAATTGAATATTAAGAAAACAGCCCAGTCCAGGTCAAGCCCATAAATCCAGTGGTAGAAAAGCATCTCAGTGCTGGCATGGGTCTCCACATGATTCCTCCGTTCCAGGGCTCTGGCTCCATCAGCCTCTCTCCATGTAAGGTCTCCCAGGGAGTGCCTGTGTCCTGCCTCCAGCGAGCTATTTATCTCCTTAGCGCCTCCAAATGAGGTCATCAAGCTGTGCCCTGACTGACCACCTAAACTCCACCCCTTCACTCTTCAGTCTCAAATTGACAACAGATTATATAACTACCAGTTAGTTTTCTCACAATTGAATGCCTTTCCTTTAATAATCCATGAATGCACGAGACAGACTTTTTTTTTTTAATTCTCTTCCTGCTCCTCCATGAGCCTCACACAAGTGACAGTTCAGAAGCTCACAGACAGAGACAGGTCTAACCTGTCCTGTTAGGCATTGATTCGATGGCAGTGAGTTTACCCCATCACGTGGTGGAAATGATGAATACTATGGCTAGAAACACCATATCAAGTAGTTTGCTACACTGTGTGCATATTTAGATGTTTGTGAATATGTATATTTTAGAAGTTTGGAAATGCAAAACCAAGTTGACAGCAGTAGTATCTTGGGAATGTGGCGGGAAGGGAGTAAGAGAACAAGCCTCATATTTTACTGTATTTCAGTTTTCACTACAAGTACTTGTATGTTATTTTTGTCATTAAAAAAACTAAATACCAGAGTATTGAAACATACAACAAAATGCAGTGTGCTATTGTAGGTGGACGCCTGGAACAGAAAACGTGCTCATGGGAAACTAGTGAAATCCAAACCAGTTTAGTTAAAAAGTAAAACGAAAAGACTCAGACATAACTATACATAGTTGACCTAGGACTATGAGGAAATGGTGATAGTACCTTTTAACCAGAAGTGAAAATCGCCAGAAAGCAAAACGTGGAAATCTTCCTGTTGGTCTTCCCGCTGAAGTGTACAAAGCCTGTGGCTTACAGCAACGAGGTCTCGAGTCAGAATAGGCTGCGTGGTGGTTTCTTGGTTTTGTTTTTGTTGGTTGGTTTGAGGTATGAAAGAGAAATCAGACACTTGTTGCTTTCTATGAAAAGACCCAGACAATGGCCTGAGCATTAAGCATATTGGTGTTTCATAGAGTGCAGTGCATTCTGGGACACAGTCTATGGAAACTCACTGCCATTGAGTCAACTGACTCAGACACAGCTGTAAAGAAATAGAATTTGGATTCAGGGTCTATTTCCCAGGCCCCTCTGCACTTTCCGAATCTCTGGCTTAATTAGTCCATCTACTGGCATATCCTCATTTTCTCTTCTCCCAAGTTTGGGAGATAAGTAACCTTGCTATCCAACTTTCCACAAGACTGCCTGTAGGAGGCTGTCACGGAAGAAGGCAATCCACTGAAGTGACACAGCGTGGCCACAGATGGAAGTGCTATCTCAGGCTGACCCTCGGATCCATTCCAGTTTGATTCCTCCAGCAGTGTTTTTGGACAAAAGACTTGAATAGTGAATTCGAAATGGAGGATTCAAGAAAAACTGCCAGACCAGTTCCATCAGAGGCTCCTCCTGGCCCCAACGCCCACCTCCTAGTTGTACCTGTCAATCCTACAGCCCTTACAGCATGATAATTTTCACAATTAAAAGTGACCTTTGCAGCGTTTTACACTCTGTTTCAGAGTTTAAATGTCTTTAGCAAAAGAACAAGAGGTAGGTGATTATGGTTGTTACATAATCTTGTGTCAACTTGATATTAAGAGTGAAAGGGTGGGGTTTAGCCTGTCAATCAGGTCACAGTCTCCTTGTGGGTGTGGCCTCATGAGGATTCTGGGAAATTCCTCTCTTTCTCCAGGGAGGTCTCTGCTTCACCTTCCTGTTGACAAGCCATGTGGAGACATGCTGAGACCTGAGCCAGCCATATGCTGGAGGCCTGCACCAGCCCTCTGATGCTTCCACCGGCATGGGATCCACAGACTTTTACCCACCAGCCTGTGATCTCCCTACATTTGGCATCATTGCATGCGCTGCATGAGTCTGAAGAGGAATTTAGGGGCTAGTAACAGACATATGGGCTAATATTGCACTTAAGGACTTGGTCTGAGCTGGGATGTTTTCTCAATATACAATTACTCTTTGATCTAAAGCTCCCTCTTACACACATTAGAGTATCTCTGGATTTCTCTCTCTAGGCAACTTGGCCTAGCACAGTGATGATAATAGTAAAACCAGTAGGCTGGGTTGTGCCTTTAACTGGGCTGAAAATAGAGCTTTCTGTGTAACACTTGATAACCAAAACATGATGCAAAGTGGGATATACCTAATGACCTCAACAAGGTTATTTTTTAAGTTAGAGAATCTTAATTTGAACACTTGAGATGACGATATTAAATGATTGCTAATTTTGAAAAGCAACATGCTTGGTTTGGTGTCTTTATCTTGTAGAGATTTACACTGTTCCACATAGAAAAGAAAAAACAAAACCATGCTTGGGCATTTGCTTCAGAATCATCGGGGATGCAGTTGAGTTGGGTCAGAATGGGTGGGGTGCAGATGGAAGCAAGATTGGCCCAGATAGACTTGGAACTGCATTGTGGTTAGGAAGAGCGATGCTACTACATTACTTTCTACATTGTTAGCTGTTTGAAATCTTCCACAAGAAGATCCCTTTGAAAAAGCCATGCAAAGGAGGGGAAACTTTTTAAAAATCATTTTACTGGGGGCTCATACAACTCTTATCACAATCCATACATACATCCGTTGTGTCAAGCACATTTGTACATTTGTTGCCCTCATCATTCTCAAAACATTTGCTTTCTACTTGAACCCTTGGTATCAGCTCTTTTTTTCCCCTCCCTCATGAACCCTTGATAATTTATAAATTATTGTTTTGTCATGTCTTATACTCCGGCATCTCCCTTCACCCACTTTTCTGTTGTCCATCCCCCAGGGAGGGGGCTATATGTAGATCCTTGTAATTGGTTCCCCCTTTCTACCCCACCTTCCCTCCTCCCTCCCCGTATCTCCACTCTCACCACTGGTCCTGAAGGGATCATCTGTCCTGGATTCCCTGTGTTTCCAGTTCCTATCTGTACCAGTGTACCTCCTCTGGTCTAGCTTGATTTGTAAGGTAGAATTGGGATCATGATAGTGTGTGTGTAGGGTGGGGGGAAGGTGAAGCATTTAAGAACTAGAGGAAAGTTGTATGTTTCATCGTTACTACACTACCCTGACAGGCTCATCTCCTCCCTGAGACTCTTCGGTAAAGGGGGTCCAGTTGCCTACAGATGGGCGTTGGGTCCCCACTCTGCATCCCCTCATTCACAATGATGTGGGTTTTGTTCTTTGATGCCTTCCGCCTGATCAGAAGGGAAACTTTTGAATATGAAGATACTCCCAAAACAGAATGAATAAGATTCAGTTCAAAGTCTAAATTAAAACCAGGGGTTACCTCTCTCTTTACTCCAAATCTCTTGAAGTATTTCAAAGGAACTAAAGAGTCCCCTTAGTGAGGGTGTAGAAGAAAGGGGGCCACTCAAATGTCAGTGTTTCTGAGCAAATCCAAATTGCCTCAAATGAGAGCCCAAGACAAGTTGTATTAATTAGCCTTACCCAGCAAGGAGGACGCTGGGGTGTGGGACCCCCAATCTGGGCTCTAACAAGCCCTATAGGTGCTAACCACAAGGTCTGCAGTTAGACTGCACCACTGCTCCATTCTCTCATGAAGTTTTAGTCTTAGAAACCCACAGGGGCAGTTCTGACCTGTCCTATAGGGTGGCTGTGAGTGGAAACTGAGTGGATGGCCGTGAGTGTGAGCAGTTGATTCTGGTACACAACCAGATTTGAGAACCACCGTAAAGCCCATCAGATTAACAGGAGAGAGGAGGAAGACCTCAGTTCAAACTGGTCTTGGAGAGAAAGCCCCCAAAGGTCAGAACAATTACAGGGACAGAATGCCAGACAGCTGGAGACCGACAGCTGGGCTAGTCAAGACCTAACGTTTCCCACTTCCCAAACTGAGGGAGAAGGGGGTGGTTTTGTCAAGGAGAGAAAGGCTCCTTCCTCAGAATAAAGTGCTTCCTATTTTGAAAGAGAAGCCCAGGCCTGCTGTTGGCATAGCGGGCTGGCGTTGACTTGCTAACTCCCAGCCCTTC